AATGCCTCAGTTTGGTGGCAATGTTAGAAGTGTGACAAAAATTAAATTATTTGTCTGCCTTAAGCATGGCCCTCCTTGGATTGCTAATGAGGGGAATTCTTGTTGAACACATGTTCAGACTCCTTTAGAGGTGCTGGGAAAGTGATTTATTCTTTCTATCATCAGGAAGGGCTTTCCCCTGTTTTCTCTGACTCTCTTTTGTGCTTTCACCTAATGTAAGAGATCACTGCTTGTGTTCCAGCACTAAAGAGAGATCCCCCAGGGACAGCAATCCCAAGGGACACCTTTCCTGCCCATCCAGACCCCATCTTGAGAAGGAATTGGTTCAGGAAGATCCTTTGGGTGCTCCAGTCTGAGGGGAACAGTCACAGCGAACAAAACTCACCTGCAGCTCTCTCCTCTGTCACCATCACATTTTCTGGAAAATCCCCTTGCCCAGGATTTCTCTCCTGGGAAACTGAGAAGCCTCAGAGAAAACGAAAATAGTATTATCTCATTTGCTTCTCCTGTGTTTTGCTGCTTTGGAATGTGTGTGGAGATTGTTTATCCAACAGGGGAATTGGTTTTACTCGTTGGCCAATGACGCCCAAGATGTGTTGAGGCTCTGGAGAGAGTCACGAGTTTTCCATTGTTATCTTTTAGCCTTCTGTCCGTACCCTTTCTCTATTCTTTAGTATAGTTTTAGTTTAGTATTCTTTAATAGAATATAGATCATAAAATAATAAATTAGCCTTCTGAGAACATGGAGTCAGATTCATTCATTTTCTCTTCCAGAAAATGCCACAGTCCAGCATCCCAAGGAGTGTAGGATTTGGGAGGATCAGACAGCAAGGAGATGGACTCCTCAAAAGTTTCTATTCCCTGATGGCCATTTTTGGCTGTCCCAACTATCCCAGGAGCTGTTTTGAGTTTAAATTGTCACAAGCTGAGTGAGTGAACATCCTGAAGTTGCATCCTTTCACAGGCTCCCATGTGATGCTTTTGATTGTTCCTTTTTCAGCCTCTGCCAGTGCCTTGATGTTCTCCCCCCACGAGGGAATTAATGGCTGGGAAGGAATGGAGAGCACAGCACGAAGAGAAGGCATGGTCCAGGCCTCACAGGACTAATTATGCTCTTAAAGGGTAAGAAAATAATCTTGGGTACATTGGGAAGAAAGTGTCTCAGTGATGCTGCATGGGGTTACAGGCTTGTCTCCTACATTTGTGCATTTGGAAAAAAAATTAAAAGAGCCTCAAAGACACTTCCTGACCTCAAAAAGATCAGTGAGGAGTTCAAGAAAAGAAAATTTAATTCCAAGTTGGGTTTATCACGTTTTCTTGACCCTTAAGGATGGAAAAAGCAAAGGAAGGATGCACATGAAGGTCCTGTGAAATTCTAATACTAAAACACTCTCATGCACAAAGTGTGAAGTCTGAAAACAGAGTTCAGACCCAGAGCAGGGTATGAATTCCAACGAGGGCACTGCAGACACTGCAGCTCAGGCTCTGCAAGAGCAGCCAAAGCAAAACTGAGAGAGGTTTCTTTATTGAAACACCAAACTCCAGCTCTGTGGTGCAGCTGAGAGCCAGGACAGAGGAATGGCACCCACAGCCACTGGCACAGAGGGAAAAGCAGGGAATTGGATCCCAGACTGGTGCAGGGTTATTTGAGAGGCACAGTGGGCTGTGTTTGTGGCAAATACTCGTGCACAGACACACTGGTGCCCTCTGAGGGCATCTCCAGGGACAGTCCCCTGGCCTCAGCCACCTCTGGAAACTCTTCCAAGCCAAAGGTAAGACTTCAATAACTGCAACAGAGCTTGCTGAGGCTGCTGGGAAGGAGTTCACAGAATTCACAGAATGATCATGCTGGAAGAGACCTTCAAGATCATTGAACCCATCTCCAACAGCTCAGCTGAAAGGTGCCTGTGCTCAGCTGGGGCTGGGCTCTGTCTCCAGCAGCACTAACACAACCAGAGCACACAGCCTCGAGCTGTACCAAGGGAAATACAGGTTGGGTATCGGGGAAAAGTTTTTTACAGAAAGGTGATAAAGTTCTGGAATGGCTGCCTGGGGAGGTGGTGCAGTCCCCATCCCTGGGTGTGTTTAACAAAGCCTGGATGTGGCACTGGGTGCCAGGGTTGAGTTAAGGGGTTGGAGCTGGGCTGGACTCGATGATCTTGAAGGTCTTTTCCAACCCTGTGATTCTGTGAATTCTGTGAGCTCAGCCTGGAAAATGAGACACTCTGTGCTCTTTCCTTGGCTGCTCCCTCCTCCCCAGAGCCCCAGGCTGTGAGCTGTGGCATTGTCAGGAAATCCCTTTTCCCAGAGCTGCTGCAGAAGCTCCCCATCCATCCCTGCAGCTCCCAGGTTCCAAGTGCCTCTCTCCATCCATCCATCAGCCCTGATAAAGCTGCAGGAGGTGCACTCAGGTCTGTCTGTGCCGAACACATCCCCCTTTATTGATTTGCAGGAGTTCACAGCATTAGCATAAAACAATCCAGGCAGTTGTTTCCCCTAAGAGAGCCAGGGCCTGTTTACAAACTCATTTTATTTTCACAATATTCCATTGTTATTTATTTCAGGCAGAGCTGTCAGATGAATGCACTCCCTCATGCTGGACAGCTTGCTTTATTGCCTGTTATTAAGACATAACAGATATAACCTGACAGGCACTGCCCACATCTGCCTGCCACCACTGAAAGGCAAATTAAGTAGAAAATAGAGATCTCCAATATTTCTTTGGCCTGAAGTGATATTAGGTTTTGACTCATTTTGTATTCATAGAGGATCCTGCATGTTTGTAACATATCCCACAGTATACTGTTCAAAGGAAAAGTTGGGTTTTAAAGAAATTCTTACTCCAAGTACCTCTGAGAAATTCAGGCTTTAGAACACAGCTCTGATGTTGGATGGGGAATTGAAAAGAATGCAATTTTGAAAGCTATGACTGAAGCCTACCATTGTTCCTTATGAGATTTCAAATATTAGATGTGACAAAGTGTTGGTTATTTGGGGAAGCCCAAGCCCAATGGAATGGCAGAACCACCTTCCCCACCACCTCCAGTTCTCATTATATAAGTAATTCTAGTCACATTTTTCATTATTATTTTTCTTCCTTTTTTTTTTTTGCATCCCAGGACTGAGTTGCTAATTTGGGATGGTCACAGGAGCTGCTCTGGAAATGCCTGCAAGAGGTAGGATTCTCCCATTATCCCTTAGTGCCTCTCCACCTTCTCCTCCTGCACCTTCCCAATGCCAGCTTGTTTTTTATCAACCCACTGGAGAACCAAGACACTTCTATTAATGCAAATAACCCTGAGCTGCATTAACAGGATAGGAGAAAGAAAGAGAAATAATTTTAAAGAAAGATTAATCTGGACACTGGGGGAGGCAGAGCAAGGGAGGAGTGTCCACCTACAACCATCTGACGGGAAAAACCTGATTTACACACAAGAGTGGAATAATTTTTCTTGAGTAAGTACATACTTGTGATTTGTTTGGATCGTTAGTAACCCTTATTGCAGCATCTGGATCAGCTCCCTATTATGCAGGTAGAACCCACACTTTAAAAGCTTAAAATAAATACTTGTGCTGTGCCTGTGTTCCCAAGGAAAAGGTTTCAGTGCTGGAAAGCCTCAGGTTTAATGGGAAGCTGCAAGTGTGTAAGGAACAGGCAACTGCAGCAGCAAACAGGACCTGCAATTTAATGCTAAATAGTGATACACTGAATAAATTATTATAAAAAACTAACTCTTCTTCAGTGTAGTTACAGTGGGGTTTTTTCCACTTTAGGGAAGAGTAAACAGCCTGATTGGATAGATGGCAAATGAAGCCAGGGAAATGGAGGTGGATTTTTGCCCATCCTGATGCAAAGCCAAGCAGAGGAGGAGCTCAGCAGCTTGAGCAAAACCATTTTTAGATGTGTTAAACCCCCAATGTGTAATGTTATTGTTCCACGCAATAATTACGTAAATGTGTAACAGGAACAAGCAATAACACTTTGAGATATTCTATTATCCCTCAATGTAATAAATATTTTATTAGAGCCATAGAAAAGAATGCATACAGATAACCATAGGATACACACACAACTGGAAGTTCAAGGATAAATTTCAGCCTTTTCAATATGAAACAAGGTACTGGGTACATATCTCATGGAGATATAGAACTAGAAATCAAGTAATAATACAATGTAAGTGCATGAGAAATGGGCAGTACAGGAACCTGGACTAGAATTTTGTGAAACAAGAGAAAGAGTCACCCTTTGTTGCATGAAACAGAACTATTTACTCACTAGGAACACCTGGATTTCCATGTCCCACCCACCCCCCTGTTTGCAAGTGTCTGAAAACAACACTGAAAAGCAACTAATTTTAAACTCATTTATAGCTCTCTATGTACAGTATTTACAGCTCCTGCTTTCCTCAGCAGCACTTGGTCTCATCTGGAGCTCATCTGCCAGCTCAATGCACATCAAGGTATTTTTTCCAAAGTGCTACCATAATTTTATTAATCCTGGTTCTCCCTTTGTACTTCTGTGTGCTGTAGTAGTATTGTGAAATTTAAAAACCCCAGTGTTTAAGAGGAGATGATGCTTTATGTCATGTGAACAGGGAACAAATGAACCTAAAAAGGTTGATTTGACTGAAGCCACAACTCTAGAAGTCAAATGGACCAGGCTGAATGAATCTTTAATTTAGTGCCACGAAAGAAAGCACAGATTATTCTTCAATAGCAAGTCTGAAGTGTTGTTGTATAATTTTTTAAAATCTTACTATTGCCATGAACTTCCCAGACTCAGTGACAGCAGTGGGGTGCAGCTGAGAGCCAGAGCAGGTGGAACAGTTCAGAAGTGGTTCCAGAGCAGCAGGAAGGAGAGGCCTGGCTGTGGGTCTGAATTCAGGGTGTTTGCAGTGCAATGAGCAGGGAATTTGGGGCTGCAGGGCTGGGAGCACCAGGGAAGGAGGGAGGGATGGGTGTCCTTGTCCCCAAGGCCCTGATGCCCCTGCCAGGGGTGCCAGGTGGGCACCTGAGCCCCTGGACACTGGCAGCAGGGCAAGCACAGCACCCTCAGGGTGGGAGAGTTTGGCTGTGAACAAAGAACCTGGGTAGGGAAGGCATGGTGGGGAGATGAGGACATGAATTTCAGAATTTACTGAGAGGCAGCACAAAACCATCCCCAGATCACAGCTGGGAGATCATTTCTCAGCAGCAGCACGGAGCCTTTGCCCTGCTCCAGGTGGGATTTCTTTGAAGGAGATTTCTTTTGGGATTTCTTTCCATTTAGAGCAACTCCCACAAAGGGCAGCAGGGAAATGATCCCAACTCCAGGGTGATGGCACTGCCTTGGGAGCAGCCATTATCAACTCCAGCTGATAACAGCCCCAGCTCTGATTTCATCCTTTCCATGTCAAATGCTATTTTAGCAATGCAGAACAGACCCAGAACAATTCAGGGCCGCTGTAAAAATGTTTTTTCTCACTCTCCCTCATTGCCCTGACCTCACAGTGCCATCCCTCCCCCTCTCTCACACTGTATCTGAAGTATGTAACATGTAAACTCCTTTGGTTCAAGTATTAAGGCATTTCAGATTCCTTTTTAAAGGATTTGCTAAACTTTACATGGTATTTTTTACTTCAACTTACAGTGAAATATAAAGAATTTAAAAACACGTCAGGATAGAAGAAAAAACATGCATTAACCACTGCAGTTTTTTTAAAAAATGCACTTTAGTAACCAATTTTTTTTTCCCCCAGCAAATGCAAATATATCAGCACAACACAGAATTAAGGGTCAAGGAAAATATTGTTGCTAAGAAGCTGGAGACACTGAAGATACTCAACACTGATGGTCCAGAACCTCTTGCATCCATACCTGTGACAAAGGAAAAAATGAATTCAGGATTAAATGAAAGCAGAAGTATCTGCTGTGCCACATTATTACTCTTCCTAAATGCCAAGCAAAAATTACTGTAATTTTTTCTTACAAGCACAAAAATCTACAAAATCTACAAAAATGCAGTAAATATTTAAAAATTACAGAGACGCTGTGATCATGAATGGTTTTAGTGCTGTGGTTTAGCTCACAAGGTGGTGTTTGGTCAAAGGTTGGACTCAACGATCTTGGGGATCTTTTCCAACTTTAATCAATCTGTGAGTTTGCTTTCAAGGTAATAGTGTTTTATAAAAAAAGGAGAAAAAGCAGAAAAGGTAACATTTTTAGTACCAACTTAAATGGCAATTTACCAGTTCAGCAGAATGGAGTTTGCCATGCATAAGGGCATGAAGATTTTAATTGCTTTCCTTTTATTACCGTATTACCGCACAAGGCCTAAACATTAATTTTAGTTTTTTCCCCCCACCACCAAAGGAAGCAGAGAGGAGCTGGGACAAAGGGAAGAGGCTGAACGTACTGGCTAGCCTGGGGATGAGGATCTGCTGGCTGCTGCTGCCGTCGCCGCCCTCGGTGGTGGCCCTGACCTCGATGAGATAATCGTCCTGCAGCTGCAGCCACAGCTCGGCCGTGGTGCCCGCCGTGGTCAGCACCTGCAGCCCGCCCTGGCTGCTCCTGCACAGCACCTGCAACACAGCACAGGGCCTCAGCCCCTCCTCTGCCTCCAACACACAGTGCTTCAGCTTATAACAGTGACGGGATGAAGGAAAAGAGCTGATTTTTGGTTAATATTCCAGGGTGGAATTGTATTTAAGGGAAGAAGGGAGTATCAATCAGTGTTCTATTTTGAACGTTGACTCGACTCAAAACGTTCAAGAACATTTTTTGGAATGTTTTTCATTCCAAAAAAGAATAAATTTTTTCATTAATTTTTGAACATTTTTTCACCTTTAATTCAAGATTTAATTTCAAATGGCACAATGGATGCTAATACAACTGTACTGTATTATTATAAAATGTATATGTGCATAAAAATGTATACATACATGTAAAATGTATATGTGCATATAATGTCACAAACATGTTTTATGAAAGAAACCTTTCCTTAGGGTTTTTCCTCCTGAGAAGCTGAGAGGCCTCAGGAACAAAATGTAAACAATGGTTATCTGCTGCCGTGGGATGCAACAGGTGCATCTGTGATTGGTCTCATGTGATTGTTTCTAATTAATGGCCAATCACAGTGAGCTGTATTCATTCTTTCTTTTTTTATTCTTAGCCAGCCTTCTGATGAAATCCTTTCTTCTATTCTTTTAGTATAGTTTTAATGTAATATATATAATAAAATAAGAAATCAGCCTTCTGAAACATGGAGTCAGATCCTCAGACCCCTGTGAACACGGTCACACATATAAAATGTATATGTACATAATATGTATGAAAATAATACATATTATGTATTATTTTTATTACAATAATATGAAATAATGGGGCACTGGAATAACCAGTAAACATGTACTTCTTGCCAATACAACTCGGTGGGTCATCAGATCTTCAGCCTAGATCTTTTATTCAGGATTATATCATGTGGGATCCAGCTGCACAGAGTTTAGCAGGAGCATCCTCAGCTGTTTTTTAACACACTTATATGACATTTTTAAACACTTCTACATTTGTGTGCTGATCAGATTTAGAGCAGATGCAACTGGGTAATTTCTGTCAGGGAAATGAGCATGACCCATAGCAGGTAAGAGGAGAAATGTTTAAAAATATCAGTTTAATATATGTGATAATAGATAATAAATATAGTAAATGCACCTGGCCAGCAATGGAAGCTACATCCATCAGGCTAAATGTTTGTGGTTTCTTTCAATGTTTTATCCGTTTGGGTAAGTGTTACACATTTGAAATATGAGTTATGGATGTGGTAAGTGTTTAAATGTTCTCAGACCCAGGTGTGGGTGGGATCCCAAGAGCTGAGCAGTGCCAGGATGGGAGAAAAGGGGATTGGGGGACACTAATGGTGAGACACTGTTAGAATATGTATTTTATATATTTAAAATCCCTAGGAAGGAGACCCCAGTGAAACGTTTTAGGGGTGGGATTGTGCATGCCCTGAACATGCAGACAGACAAGGAAACCCCAGCCCTGGTGTCCCCAGCTCTGTCCCCACTGACCTTGTAGCCCGTGACCTGGGACTCGTTGTCCATGGCTCTGACCTCCTCCCAGCTCAGCAGCACCCTGGACTCTGTGACATTCCACACCACGTTTCCTGGAGGCTGGCTGGGTGCTTCAAACACACAACAAAAGCACAACTTTAATTCAATTTGCACTGGGGATTGATTCACCTGCTCAGGTAATTGGCCGTCATTGCATTCGGGGTGCAAAACCAGCTCCAGTGCAGGCTCCTCTCTCTGCACGTTATGGTTCAGAGGCTAAATCTGAAAAACAGGAGGAAGGAAAAAGCCAGAATGGCACATAAATGTTGTTTCTGAAGCTGAAATATCTGTTGCTGGTCCTTCATTCAATACAGTCAGACAGAAGCATGTGCCTTAGGACATGGGTGATTATTAGAACAAACTCTAATGATGGTAACAGACAATTTCTTGGTTTAGTACAGTGTCAAGAATAAGAAAATTCTTCACAACAGATTTTTAGACAAATTTAGTCTCAGTGAATATTCAAATTTACCCACTATGTTGATTTACTTTAAGGTGTCAGCTATGGAAAATATTTGCAGATTTTTTTGTCTGTTGGCTCTTCCAGCTCAAGTTGTGGTTCTGAACTGAGCCTGTGCCAAAAGTGGGGTTTGGCCACTGATATTTGCTGGGATTTCTGGTTCATCAGCAACCCAAGGCTGTTATTTGCAAAGCAGCTGCATGCTCTGGGCTCTGCCCCTTTCATGTACCTTGGAGCTGCCAAGCTTTCAGGGAAGTACAAACCTCCTCAAATGCCTCAGGTTGCTTTCCCAGAAAACAGGTCCTGCAGTGGCACAAATCAATGATTAAAATCTTTTCTAAATGCGTTAAGGAAAACAATTTACTGCTGCTGTCACCTAGTGGAGGCAACTGCTGCTTAGGTGGGCTGAGCTGTGCTTTGAGACTGGAGGTTCCAGCTTTAAGCATGAGAGTGCTTTTGAACACTTGTATCCATGCCCTTATAGAGTTTTTCCTCTTTTTCCCCCCTCTTTTCAATTCTCTCACACAGGAAGTTCCCTGCCTTCCTTCCATAAGCAGTCAGCTCAAAACCCACCTGATTATACTCAAAAAACAGAAAAAAACCACCCCTGAGACTTAAAAGAATTATTCCAAAGTCAACCAACCACCCCCAGCTATTTTCTTTTGCTATTTGTCTTGTTCTGTGTACTGAGGAAGGTTTAACCTGGTGTTCTAATAATACCCACTCCTTGTAAATGCAAGAGGAGATTGTTTCACTCCCGAGAATGAAGTGTTACAGCATGTATGAATCGTTTTCACACTGAGATATTACAGCTGAATTTCAAAGGAAATGACTCATCCTTGAAATCCACAACAAAATATTAAGATGACACGTGGAAAAAAAAAAAAAAAAGAAGAGTAATTATCTATAAAAACTTCAAGCCTCTGTCTGAGGGATTCAGAAGCTCCATTTGCTGCAGACACCAAAATCTCCAGCACTCAGCAGAGTTCAGAACTTCTCTTGTGGCAGGTCCTGGTCCATCAATCACCTCAGGACATGTCCAGGGAGCTGCAGGGATTTCTGAGAGCTGCTCTCAGGCAGGAGAATTGCTCAGAACTAAGAGCCGATGGACAGAACATTGGGTTTTATTTTAAGACTTCTGAAATATGAAATAATTGTCACAACTCAGACAAGTCTTCCCCACCCACCTGGCATTTTACATAGCAGGATTTAAACCTCCGCTTGTTATTCTGGGCTGTAAACATGCGTATTTCAAATTTTAGAGCAAAGATATTTTAATTGTCAAAGGCTCACTTTTAATTTGGAAATACACATTGCCAGCAGAACTGAACTATTTGTATTCCTTGATATGGCAACAGTTTCTGAGATTTACCTGGCAGGTCCTGTGGGGGATTGCAAATCCTTCACAGTGAAAACCACACCAATCAAAAATATTCAGATTTAATTACAAACCAGGATTGATTAAAAATTACACATTTGAATGAAAAATCAGTTTTTACTGCAGTAGCACGGAGAATTATTTCTCTCAGCAATTCAACTAATTTATCAAAATCTTCAGACTGACATTACATGCCTTTGCTCTCCTTATTCACCAGAAAGATCCATGGAGATAATGCAATTAATTTTCCTTTTTAATTATTCCAAACAGCAGCATTTTGCCCTGATCCAGATCCTGCTCACACCAGTGAGATCAGGGGCTTGCCCAGTTCTGTCACACACCCCAAAAGCAAGAGGCACAATAAAAAAGGACTGAAAATCCCTGACCTGACCAGCCTGGCACCACCTCCAGTGAGCAGCCACAAAGATGATTAATTAGAAAAAGATTCCTTTCCCCATGTCCTGTCCAGGCTGCAGGCAGTGAGTCACTTCAGATCAGCCAGTTCATGGTAATTGTGCACATAATATATTTAAACTCGGGCAAATCTGAGTTGGTTTAGTCCTCGGTGACAGACTGACACTCATTTCTGCATAGAATAATTTCTGATAAACTAGCTTATTTCATAATATTAATGCCCCAACTCTGCCTGCTCGGGGGATGTTAATGATTATTGCAGGGAATTTGACCCTTCAGACAGATTTAATTGTCTGTTCTTGTGCCTCTGACAGAAACACTTCAAGACTGATGACCCTGATTCTGAGCTGTATTACAACAGAGGAGCACACTAAAAATATTTCCACTTGTAGAAAAATTAGTGCAGCCTTTGACAATCTGTTCTCCAGCTTAATTTTGCCTTTGCATCAGGAGAGTGGCCTCTTGTGCAATTTGTTCAAGGGGAAACAGTGGACATGAAGGATTGCTTTGCATGAACTCCAGGAGGTTCATTGCATTTCAAACCCCATGCCCTAGAGAACTCATAAATATGTTATAGAACACTGAAAAATTCAACAAGTCTCCTTTTTTTTTTTCTTCTTCTAAATAACAGAGATTTTTCTTTTCAATTTCTTCCAGTCATTAGCAGCATAACAGAGGTTCAGTGCAGAAATTACAGATGTTCCCTGGGCTCCCCTGGCACCGTTGGGTTTCACCCACCCTGCTCAAGAACTGGTGGAAGCTCTGTGCTTGATTCACGTGACTACATGGAAATTCAGGTCACTCATACTGTGATTCCCAGGAATTCCACTGCTTTCCTTTCCTTTCCTCTCCAATGTCACTGTCATATTTTCTGAAAAATCCTCTTTGCCCAGGATTCTTCTCCTGGGAAGCTGAGAAGCCTCAGAGAAGAATGAAAACAATAATTTTCTGATTGCTTCTCCTCTGTTTTGCTGTTTTGGAATGTGGTCTGGGAATTGTTTACCAACTGGTGCATGTTTGATTGGTTCCATGTGAACTGTTATTACTTAATGATCAATTCCCAGTCCAGCTGTGGCTCTGGAGAGGAGTCACGAGTTTTCATTATCATTCTTGTTAAGCCTCCTGTCTGTATCTTTTCTCTATTATTTGATATAATTTTAGTATAGCATTCTTTAATTTAATATAATATACTATAATATACTATACTATTATATACTATACTGTAATAATATACTATACTATAATATAATATAATTACTATACTATAACATTTTTCATATTATATAATGAATAATATCATATTACATAATAAATATAAATCAAATAACATATATATAAATATAGACAATTATAAAAATATAAATATATTTATGTACACTATAAATGCATTATTTAATATAAAATATATTAATTAAATTTTTATAAATATATTAAATAATATATTTATACTATTATATAATATATAACATGTAAAATATAATAAGTATAATATAATATCAAAAAATCATAATATCATAATAAATCATAAATAAATTCTCCTTCTAAGAACATGGAGTCAGATTCAAGCATTCCTCCTTCATCCTGGGGATCCTGCAAACTCAACCCTGGATGTGCTGCCCCCATCTGTGCCTGTTCCCATTGCCATCTGAGGTACTCACGTGGCTTTTTGGTGGTGGCATTGACGGTGGCACTGAAGGGCCCTGCCCCAGCGCTGTTGTAGGCACGCACAGCTGTGTAATAATCCAGGTTGCTCCTCAACCCCGTAATTTTTATTGATGTTTCATTCCCTGCTGCTTTCACTCTGTTGGAAGATTCTTCTTTCTGGCCTTTATTCCAGTACCTAACCTAGGAGATAAAAACCAAAACCATTTAAATCTTGCATGGAAAGGGCTGTTCACCCACAGCGTTGTACTTGACTCTTTTAAGTGCTTTTTTTTCCCTTCAGCTGAATAAGATAAAAATACAAGTTAAAGTTTCAGAAATATGTTTACTGTGCAAAAAAACCCCATACTCTTATCCATCTGCTTCTCACGCTTGCTGCTCTTTTCATTGTGACTGCAGCAAAAAGACAATTGAAATATTAGATCTTGCTTGAACTACAGAATGACAAGAGGAAAACCATTACTTCATTAAGAAGGAAACAAGCTCAGAAAAATGTACCTTATAAAGAAGTTTCTTTAAAAGTAAATGTAATTCTGAAAAAATATTAGCTCGGAGTTATGTTAGAAACATACCTATCAGCACAGGCAGCAAAACACAACTTCACTCTTGCTTTTAACAAAGACAGAAAAAATTATCCACCATCTGGCTGTTGGCGGGGCAGGAAGAGCAAGATTTGGGGTGAATCTGTGTGGTTGTGCTGCAGCCTGCACGACCCTTCTGGTCCATGGCCCTTACAAAGAGGAGTGGAATTTATTTAATAAACAGGGTTGATTCACTGACATATATTTTATTTCCACAGACTCACCTCATAGCCCAGCAGCCTCCCATTGCTCATCTTCCAGGGAATGGCTGTCCAGGACACCTGGATGGCTGAGGAGGACAGGCTGGTGGCAGACACTCCTGAGGGGGCCGTGCTGGGCTCTGGGTTGGGAAATCAACACGGGAGAGGTGATTGGGAATAAAGCTGGGGATAAATAAATAAATCCTCATCCCAAGCCACCTCCCTGCCCCAAGCTGCCTCATATTTTGTGTGTGTGTGACTCTGAACTCCATACACAGTGTCAGCAGCTCTCCTCACAGCTCAGTCCCACAGAACAATCCTTTTCCAGCCCCAGAACCAAGGACACCGCTGCAGCTTCAGCCCAAAAAGTGCCAACAACAGGGAATGGAGGGGAGCAAACTGGGAGGGTGGGACTGCATCACCTGGAGCTGGAATTGGACAATGAACCCCAACATGGAATGGACCAAAACAGATTAAAGTGCGAGAACTCCTGACCCTCATCCACCTTGGGTGTAGCCCTGGCTGGGCTCTTGTACTGCTCAAGGTGAATCCTTTGAAGGCCTTTAATTAATTAATTAATTAAAATAAATTATTTTTCTTATTATTTTATATATATAATATACAAATAATACACAATAACATAGACATTATATATTATTAAATATATTTTTATTAAATTTATTTGTCTATATTTATTATTTGTATAATAAATATAAGCAAACAATTTATAATATTTATTTATATTTATTATTAAATATATTTATTTTACATGGAATAATAATAATAATAATAATAATAATAATAATAATAATAAATAATGCTTTATTTATTTAACTCTGCCCATTCTCTGCTCCAGGGAGCCTCCCAGGAACACCTGGTGGAAGGTTTTGGGGCAGCCCAGGGCTGTACCTTCCTCAGCTGAGAACACTGTGGCCACGGCGCTGAAGGGCCCCTCTCCTTTGTTGTTGTAGACGCCGACCTTGACCTCGTAGGGCGAGAAGGGCAGGATGCTCTCGTTCCTGAAGACGTATCTGGGGGTGTCAGGGGAGGTCACCACGGTCTGGATCCACGTCGAGGTGCCCGAGGGGCGGAAAGCCACCACGTACCCAAATCCTTCCCCGTTCTGCAGCTCCTCAGGGACGGGCTGGGACAGAACAACAGCTGTGAGCCACTGGAGGGATGGGCAGGAGACACTCAGGGACAGAAGAACACCTGTGATGCCCTGGGGAGGCTGGGCAGGAGACACTCAGGGACAGAAAAACAACTGTGTGCCACTGGGGAGGATGGACAGGAGAAACTCATCTCACATCAGGGACAGAACAACAGCTGTGAGCCACTGGAGGGATGGGCAGGAGAAACCCAGGGACAGAACAACAGCTGTGAGCCACTGGGGAGGATGGGCAGGAGAAACCCAAGACATGACCCAGGTGGCACTGCACTGGGCATGAAACCCTCAACCAATTAACTCTGGGCAGAACAACAAAATGTGCTCCCTATAACCTGTGTTAAGGTTTGCATTTCAATAAGAGGACAGTTTTCAGGTATAATCTCTGGTTTTCACTAAGTATTCTGCTTCAAGATGCTCTTCAGTAAATACAGCTTTTCTTTCATCAATGCACAGTTCATAAAAAATGAATGATTGCTTGGTCAGCTGTTAGAGAATTCAATACCACCTTCATACAGTGGTGAAACCTTCTTCTGATGTCATTATGATTAGATAACCACACAGAACAGTCAATGGTAGGGACAGAATATTAACAGTTCTTTAAATCATTAAAGAAGGGATACATAACATAAATGAAAATTGGTTAGCATGTGCATCCAGATTTAATGGTGGGAAAGCAAGAACTGCAAATCTGCACTGCAAAGTTCAGTTCTTTGGCTTAGCCCCCTTACCCTGCCCTCCTGCCTCCTTTTTAGCATCAACATTTGTATGAGAACAGAGGTAATCCCAGCCAAGCTGAATCCCCTGGGGATTTCCATCCAGCCCAGGGACACGAGAGTCAAAGAACAAAGGCCAATGTGCAGGGCTCACATCACACAGGGCCCAGAGCATGTGCACATCCCAGAGGAAATTCAGAGGGAGAAGAGAAAAAAAGAAAAAGAAAAAGAAAAAGAGAAAAAGAAAAAGAAAAGAAAAGAAACGAAAAGAGAAAAGAAAAGAAAAGAAAAGAAAAGAAAAGAAAAGAAAAGAAAAGAGAAAAAGAAAACAGTTCTGTGAAGAGAAGATCTCCCCACAAACTTACATCCCACGTTATGACCAGCTCAGACCTGCTGCCTCCTCCCCCACTGACCTCAGAGGGGGGAATTTCAGGAACTGTGGGAAGGAAAGGCAGAGATGTCAGCACAGAGTAGAGACAGGAGAACACAGCACATCACCCTCATGCTCTGAGTTTAACCCACATTCCTCAGGGGGAATGGTTTTGGGGTAGGGAATACTGGAGAGCCCCAGCCCTGTCCCACACTGATCCTTCCCTGGGCCAGGCTGGGGCTCCTCTGAGTTCTGAAGAACCTCAGCAGCTCACAGATTATTTCATTATTTATTAACCACTCCTGCTGTGTCTAGGAACTTCCAAAAACTGCATTCAAGCCTAATTTTTCTAGAGTTAATTCCTCCTGGGTTGGAAGAGACCCCAAAGATCATCTTGTTCCAGGACACCTTCCACTGGACCATGTTGCTCAGAATTCCACATCCTTGGGATGTTATGCAGATAAATTAGGGAACAGCCTCATTCCAAGTGAGCTGGGTTTGTAATTGATGGGTTCTTCTGAGCCACATGCCTGTTACATGGAAGGGTTTCACTGATCAAACAGCAGGAATGAAAAATCCCTGTCAAAATTAACCTCTTTGCATCCATTAATACCTTCACACTCTGCAGCACTGCCTGAACTGGCAGATTGTGCCACAGCAAATGCAGTTTAAATGGATTTATGCTTCTGTGATGTTCAGTAATGCAACACAAACTGTCCTACAGCAAAATGGAAAAATATGAACAAACTTGTTTCAGGCTTTTATATCCACTGGCAATTCCAAGCTTGTTTGCAAAGAGCCAAGAAGATAAAGATATGAACACTCCTTTTCCCTGTTAACATACAACATTCTTGAATTAAAAACAAATAGAAGGACCCACTAACCTGCCTCTTCAGTTCTTACTTTTTCTGAGGGCAAACTAGGCTCTCCACCTCCTATTTTGTTGGTGGCAACTACACGAAATTCATATTCAACCCAAGGATTTAAATCCACTACTGTGCTCGTGAAAGTTCTGCCGTCGATCACGTCCGGAACTGGGGGAGAGAAAAGGAAAAAGGAACTCAGGAAAAGGAGAATGGCTCAAGGGAAAAGGGAGCTCAAGGAAAATGGTTCAAGGAAAAAGGGAGCTCAGGAAAAGGAAAATGGCTCAAGGGAAAAGGGAGCTCAGGAACAGGAGAATGGCTCAAGGGAAAAGGAAAAAGGCTCAAGGAAAAAGGGAGCTCAGGAAAATGGCTCAAGGGAAAGGGAGCTCAGGAAAAGGAAAATGGCTCAAGGGAAAAGCAAAATGGCTCAAGGAAAAAGGGAGCTCAGGAGAAGGAGAATGGCTCAAGGCAAAAAGGGAGCTCAGGAAAATGGCTCAAGGGAAAAGGGAGCAGAGGAAAAGGAAAATGGCTCAAGGGAAAAGGGAGCAGAGGAAAAGGAAAATGGCTCAAGGGAAAAGGGAGCTCAAGGAAAATGGCTCAAGGGAAAAAGGGAGCTCAGGAAAGGGAAAATGGCTCAAAGCAAAAGGGAGCTCCGGAAAATGGCTCAAGGGAAAAGGGGGATCAGGAAAAGGAGAATGGCTCAAGGGAAAAGGGAGCTCAGGAGAAGAAAAATGTCTCATGGGAAAGGGAGCTCAGGAACAGGAGAATGGCTCAGGTGCCAGAGCCATTCCCTCAGAGGCTGAGCTGGGAGATGTGTGCTCACCTGTGCTGATGAGCTGGGCTCACCTGTGCTGATGAGCTGGGCTCACCTGTTTTGCCCGAGCTGGGCTCACCTGTGGTGGCTCTCTGCCAGCCCACGGAGAAGGGCGTCCTGGCCTGGATGGTGTAGGTGGTCACGGGGCTGTGGTTGTCCGTGCCCTCCTGCCAGGAGATCTGGGCTGTGGTGTCCGTGATCTCGTCCACCCTCACGTGCTCAGGGGGCCCAGGAGAGCCTGCAGAGGGGTGGGAAGCCAGGCACAGGTTGGGGAAGCCCTGGGAATCACTTCCTCTTTGTTTTCTTCCTCAGGGAGGAGGAAAACAATTCAGACTGGAATCAGAACACTCGTAATTGTGGTTTTATATTTACTAAACTCTGATAATTTCAACCTGAAATACTCTCAAGGGCAGAACTGATGCCTGGGTTTTGGCTTTTTTACCAAAACCTTTGTTCAGCACATCCCTCTGTCTTTTCAGCGTCTTTTCCTTTAGTCCTAAATGTCCTCTTTAGTCTACAGACAAATCTTTGTATTATGGAAATTTTCTACCTACAACTTCTTTACTTCACTTGTATTACTGGAACAATTTTTCAGCACATGTGACCAGCACCACAAGCAGTAATTCAGTCACACAAACTTCCTGCTGCCTTCTAGAAAATCCTAATTCTTTGCACTTCCTGCCCAAAATGCTGGGTTTTGTCTCACCTGCACCAGCAAAGGGGGTTGAAATGAGTAACAGTGCATTAACAATGAGAAAATATCTGAAATATTTCAAAACATATTGAGTAAGTGCTGATCACATAATGTGCTTTTCTAGATCAAAGCTTTTTACCTTGCAATAAATGTAGCTGTAACATCAGCAGAGAAAGCCACAGCTCTGGCTGAACTGTGAATGAAAAGGAATAATCCTGCATTATAGGCTTTAAACCCTAGGAGAAAACCTCTCCTGGGCTCTGGCAGAATTGCCCATTTCACAGGAGGGATTCTGGAGTCCCCAACACTTCATTCTGCAGAGGCAGCAACCCCAGAGCTGCCAGTGAGCTCCTCTTGGCAGCCTGAAGGACTGGCAGTGAAAAAGGATGTGAAGTCACTATTCCAACCCCCAGCTCCTCATTTCTCTGGGAAAAAATCAGGCTTCACCCAAAAGCCGAGCTGTAATTCTCCCTAGCTGCAGGCCAGAATGACATAAATCCAACTCACAGCCATTCATCACCCCATTCAAACCATGCATTGGCTCTGTGACCTCCACCATCAGTTATTTCTGCGGCCTGTAATTTGAAAAAAAGGTGGAAAACACGATGGGCTGGGCTGTACCTCTCACGATGAGGTCGGCAGCAGAGGCCACGCTGTCCACCTCTGTCTTCACCATGCACACGTACTTCCCACTGTGCTTCAGCTGGATGTTCCTGATCATCAGATCCCCTGATGCGCTCTGGGGACACACAACATTCATTAGTGCCAACATTAAAAGGGAAAGGGAAAAAAGGGGGAAAAAGGGGGGAAAAAAAAATCCACCAAAACTTTTGCAGTTGCTCAAAAGCTGCTCTGCAGGACAGCAAATTCCTGCCCATCAGCAGCTCCAGGCTTGTTGTCTGGGAGCATCTTCCCAAAAAACATGAGGTGATTGATGTCCCTTTTTTGGGAGAAATGAGCCCCAACACAGGGAGCTCACACTGGGAGCATCTCCTGCCTGCAACCCCCAGTAGCCTCAATGCCCTTAAAATAGGAAAATGTGTTTTTCTGTGGCCATTACCACTTTGATTTCTAAACAGAATTCATGGAGTTTTTATCTTCAACTTGTAAATAAAGCCATGACAGATTTTTAAGGAGTTCAAATGTGTAAAAGACAAATTTCTCCCTTTTTTAGGAGAAATGAGCTCCAACAAGGAGAGCTCCAACATGGGAAGGCATCTCCTGCCTGGAATCCCCAGTGCCCTGTGACCATTTGTCCCAAAGCCCTAAAAACAGAAAAATGTGTTCTCTGTGGCCATTACCAATTTGATTTCTAGACAAAATTCATGGAGTTTTTATCCTGAACTTTTAAGTCAAGTTATGACAGATTTTTAAGGAGTTCAAATGTGTAAAAGACAAAGTTGAATTCAGTCCATTCTCCAGGTTATTGTGAGCACTTTCATTTAAAGGTTGCACATTCTAGGCTGACTTTCCCATTTTACAAGCCCAAGTTCTGCTCTTTGCTATTCACTGAGTATTTAATCTTTAGTCTTTTTTCCCTGTTGTTCTTTCTCAGATCACAGCATGTGGTTATTTCCCAGATCATGGGAAAAGAAATAAAACCTAAATGAAACTGTAACTTCCTATCACATTTGTGCACTGTTTTCTACACCACTGAACAGAGAACTTGATATTAAACCTTTGCTAAACAGTGTCCCTTAAAAAAAATCTCCTCTTTGTGTCAGCTCAATTACTGCCTTAACTCAGTTCCAGCTGAATTTTCCAGGTGAAAAACACCTCAGTAAGATTTTAATTTTTAAATTACAATTATTCTGGACAAGCAGCATTTTCTTCAAGGACAGAACACTAATCTGTGGGTATTTTCAACTACTTTGGCCACTGATCCATGGGCAAACAGCAGTTTGGGAGAAAGGCAAAGCCATGACTCTGAAGTTTATTTTAGTCTTGGAAAAAACATGAACCTTTCAAAACATTTGATTATTTTCCTTTGTTTCAGCATTACAATGTCTCAATTCTTTACTCGACACAAGCTGAAGCCAATTCTGCCTGATTCCCTTCCATGTGTGTGCCTGATCTGCTGTGAAAGCACAGATGGAAGTTGTTTGCAGGACAATTCAGTGCTGATTGCTTACAATAAATTAAAAGTTGAGTCAAAGGCAATCTAAAATCCATCTCCTTGATTGGAAGTGGATATTCAGGGAATGCCCAACACCAGCAGAGAATGCAAGCAAATCACGTCCTACACAAATTTCAGCAAAGTCAACTTGAGACATCTCACCAAAGTGGAGGGGGGGGGGGCTTAAAATAGAACAGTTTTACTTGAAATAAACCTCAGCAAAATGTGAACTCTGCATTTCAGTAATTTGTGCATTTCAGTAATTTGTGGGGGTTTGGGAAGAGTCTTGAGGGACTGGGGGAGCAGCAGGAAGCTCCTCTGTGTTGCGGTAAAAGCAGATGGGACTCAGTTTGTGAGGGAAAAGCCAATTTTTGTGGGAATTTTTTGGGGAGGGGAGAGGAAGTTCTGGGAAAGAGAAGAGAAGGAGAAGAGAAAGAGGGGAGAAGGAGAAGATAAAGAGCAAGAGAAGGGGAAGAGGAAGGGGAAGGAGAGGGGAAGGGAAGGAGAGGGGAAGGGAAGGGGAAGGAGAGGGGAAGGGAAGGAGAGGGGAAGGGAAGGAGAGGGGAAGGGAAGGGAAGGGAAGAGGAGAGGAGAGAAGAGAAGAGGAAGAGGAAGAGGAAGAGGAAGAGGAAGAGAAGGAGGGGAGAATAGGAAGAGGAAGAGGAAGAGAAGAGCAAGAGGAAGAGAGGAGAAAGAGGAAAAGAAGGAGAAGAGGGAGAGAAGGAGTTTAGAGCTCACCCCTCCAACCTTCTCGAAGTGGGATGCGTCCCTCTGGAAGTCGGTGAGGCTCCCGTTGAAGTACCAGGTGAAGCTGATGTCCAGCAGGGGATCGTGCTGCACCTGGCAGGGCAGCACCACGCTCTCCCCCACGGTCACATCCAGGTTGGAAGGGGCCAAGGTGATCCTGGTTGGCTCTGCAGGGAGCACACACACTGGGTATTGGGTTTTGCTGCACTGCTGAGCTTTGCCTGCCACTGATAGCCCCCCATTCCTGCATGGGATCAGTGACAGACATTTCCAGAGGTGCAGCTGGACTGGGAATGCTGCCTGGAGCTTTGCGTCCTGGCATTTCCTATCACATTCATATTTTCTGAAAAATCCTCTTTGCCCAGGATTTCTCTCCTGGGAAGCTGAGAAGCCTCAGAGAAAAAGGAAGACAACAATTAACTGATTTGCTTCTCCTGTGTTTTGCTGCTTTGGAACGTAGTTGGAGATTGTTCATCCAACAGGTGAATGTTTGATTGGTTTCATGTGAATTGTTTTAACTTAATGACCAATGAATGTCCAGCTGTGTCAGGACTCTGGAGGGAGAGTCACAAGTTTTCATTATCATTCTTTGTACCCTTTTGTAAGAATCCTCAAGATAATATAATATAATATAATATAATATAATATAATATAATATAATATAATATAATATAGTATAATATAATATAATATAATATAATATAATATAATCCTTCTGAGAACATGGAGTCAGATTCATCTTTCCTCCCCATGATGGGACCCTGAAAATATCACAATTTCCCAGCAAGAGCTGCTGGGCACTGGCAGGTGAATTTGAGCCAATCCACTGCACCAAGCTGAATCCTGGGGCTGGAATTGCCATGGGAGTTTCTCAGCAACCCCACTGGGGTTTGAAGCAGCAGCAGCCACTGGGCAGGTGAAGAGGAGGGAGAAAGGGAAGACCCTAATAAACCCCAGAAACTGCAGGAAATCCACTTGAGGAGGAGCACACTGGATATTTGGGTCCATATATCACACAGAACATAAATAGTGTCTTTAAGAGCAGCTCTTTGTTATCCCAGAATCACATTAACAGAGAAAAATTTCAGGTACTGTAAATACTGTAACAATAAAATTGAATTCTAGGAATTCTCTGTATATAATTTTATTATTTGTATATAAAGGGATATGAATCACTGAGGAGCACAGGCTGAAAACATGAAGCTGTTAATTCACTGAACAAAATAATTCTGTCTGGACCTCTGAGATATACAGGATTTGTAATGCAGTGGGATATTAGATAATTCCGAGTTTGGGAAGTTTTTAGATATTAAAATCTTTGAAAAAGAACATTATGAGAGAAGACATTTTTCAGATAAACTTCACAAACTCTTGGCTCTTTTCATCCAGTATCTCAACCAGCAGCCAGGAATGGATGACTTGGAGGAAGGATCCCTCTGAACAACAATTCTGTATAAAATTTACTTTTCAAAGACTGTGTTCTACTGCCCGTGGAGTCCCTGAATGCTCCCCTGCAGCTGGAGTTTCCACCACATCTTTTTCCATAAGCAAACAGCATTTAAACCTCTTCTGGGCAAAAGATTTTCACCAGGAATACAAAATTGCCTCAAAGATTTTTTTGATTGACATGTTTTTTTCATAACAAATTAAAAACCCCCACGAACTTAAAAGCATAATTGCACTATTTAGTGTTTAGAGAAGTGAGAGGAGGGAGGGAAGTGTTCAGAACTCCCTCACATCTGAGAAATATCTTTGTCAAAGGCAGAAAAAAAATCCCTCAGCGTCTTTTACACTAATGAAAGAGCTGTAACAGCTACCCTTTTATCTTTATACATTAAATAAATAACTTCTCATGGCCTTTACATTGTACCACGGCACTGCAGGCTGCTGGGGCTGCAGTTCCAGCTCACCCACCTGTAACCACCAGGCTGGTGGAGCCCCTGGCTGTTCCAAACTGGTTTGTGGCCAGGCAGGTGTAGGTGCCAGCATCCCCCTTGGTCACGTTGGCCACCCTCAGCCCTCCATCCTTTAACAGGCTGATCCTGGAAAATTACGAGGAGATTTTGAAAAGTCGCAGCATTTGTAGACAAAATGCGCTCATGCTTTACTGTTACCTCTGACATACCAAACTCTGTCAACAATTACACAGAATCACACAGAATTTCTAGGTTGGAAGAGACCTTTAAGATCATCGAGTCCAACCCATGTTCTGGGAAGAAAATGAGTTCCATACCAGCTGAAACCTGGACAATTACCAGACTGGGGTTTGAAAATGTGACCATCCACAAATTTGAACTCAACCACTTTGGACACATCACTCTGGAAACCACTGGAACCAATTTTTTAAGAGATGTGGGCACATGCATGGGTGTGAAAGAGGCAAATCCCACGTGAGCTCCACCTCTTTTAGCTGCACCAATTGAAACTGGAGTAATTTTCAGCTCTTTTGTTGTTCAGCTCAAGAAATCCAGCACAGCACCTTTGAAGTCACTGTGATTACCATGACAACTCCATAGGGCTGTTCATGAACTTCCTCTGTGGAAGGGCTTGCAGGACAGAAAATTCCATTCACCCCACACAGGGAGAGCATGGAAAAGCAGGAAGGTGCTTATAGATGTGGAGAGAAGAAAACTGATAAGGACACAGGAGCAGGGATGTCCCCACAGCAGAGGTGACATCCCAGACAGCAGCACAGCTAAGGCTCAGTTGATTCCCTTTTTCCCTATTTCTTGTCTTCCCATCTGTTCTATCCTGCAAGGACTTCTACCCTAAGAAAACCTGCAGCAGCAAAACAATTGAATATATATAAATATATAAATAATAACACATAAATATATAGATAAAATATAAATATATATAAAAACCATCAAATTAACAAATTCAAAAAATACCCATTTTCCTGATATGCCCAAGTCAAAAGAGCTTCAGAGCTTTTCTCTCACAGCCCATCAGCCCATCTGAGAGGCACCAAAGTGGAGCACAGCACCTGGGCTGGATGGTGATGTGGAAATTTGGAAAGTGAGCAGCAAACAAACCCTCTCCAGGCAAAGCTCTGCATTAGCTGAGTCCTGCTCCTTTTTAGGGCAAGTGCCTGCTGAAAAGGCAGCAAATGTCACCAAAGCTGACAGTGCCACCAAGAGCTGGGAGGGTTCTGCCTGCTCACTCCCACCTGCTGCTCCATCCAGTACAAACGGAATGAATTCATCACACACCTCTGCTGCTCCTTTTATTTTCAACACTCTGAAGGTAAAATAAAGTCATTGAATCCCCACCACTCATCCCAGCTGAGTTCTGTGGCTGAATTCTGCTGGGTTGGGATCATTTTCCACAAGGCTGCAGTGAGGGGTGGCTCAGTCTCTTCCCCCAGGTGACAAGGAATGGCCAGGGAGGCTTAGATTGGATTTTGGGGTAAATTTCTTCATGCAAAGGTTCAGTGATCTCATCCTGCAACCTCTGACCCAAACCCACGTTCCCTAAATGCAAATCCCACATGGGAGAACTCCAGGGCTCTGGAATTCCACTGCTCCGCTCCCTCCCTCAGCAGCAAACCCTCCTCATCCTCACAGCCTCTGGAAGCAGCAATCTGCACTGCTCTGTGCAATGAAAACTGAGTTTCTGCAGTTACAGCACAGAAATATACACAACTTTTAAACGCTTTTCTCTTAATTAGCTCAAATTGCATTCTGTATTTCCCTAAAAAGAATGTTTGAGCTCTCAGTGCTGCCTCTGAGCTGCTCCTCCTCTGGGCAGAGGTGGTGCAATAATGAAATTAGCAGATGCAAATTACAAGAGATAACAAGTCACCCTGTTAGAACAACAGACAAAAGCATTTTATTGGGGTGAGAAAGAGAGCTATAAATAGGCAGTTTAATCCATTTATAACCACACAAAGCATCCCGAGGTAGCTCAGCTGCTGTGGTGGCATTTGAGGTGTTTTTTCAAGGGAGGATGTGCCTCACCAGTGACTTCCCTGGGGTTCATTAACTTGTTTTGGAAAATTCCTCAGTCATATTTCGCTGCACTTCATGTGAGATGGAACATTTAAAATTAATTAAACCGTGCCATATGGTTTATAGGTATTTTAAAATGTGTTAAAGACATGAGTGATACATTTTATAGGTAATTAGAATGACATCAAAAAAAGGTGTTAAAATATATCAATTATGGTTACAAGCAAGTGCTGTTGCACTTTCTAGCTGAGGCTTCGTCTGCTTTGATGCAATTTCCCACAGAAAAAATACAAAACTAAAGAAACCCCAAGTGTTGACAAAGCCCAAGATCAAACAGAAGAAAAAGCAGGATCAGGGAATAAACCTGAAAATGTCTATTGTTTAATTAACATGAATCACTTTTAGAGTGCTCTGAGCTACTTGCAAGCCTAGTCTGCCTAAAATAATTAAACAGAAAGCTTATTAAAGCCCTGATATAATTTAGAATATTTTTTAATAGAAGTAAAAACAAAAAGCAAACAATACATGGGAAAAATCAATTATAGAAAAATAATATACTTGAAATAAAATCTTTACTGGTAAATTAGAAAAAGAGCAATGCTCCACTTTTTCCAATTACTAAACAGGAAATGCAGCTCAGAGCCTGTGGAAACCCCAACCCCAAAAACAGCTCTGCCCCTCCTGCTGAAACAGGAGAGAAACCACAGCTTTCAGTTTAACTGGAATTATTCAGTATTCACACACAGTGCTGGAACACTGCCAGGAGAGACCCAGACCTGTGACACACACAAATAACAATCCAGCCTTTGGAATTCCTCTATCTACAGGCGTTTTCCCAATTATTTTGCTTAAGGGCAGCAATTTTCCATGGAAATTCCATTTTCCACAACCAGCACCCTTCTGGCACCCTGGCAAGTGGCACAAAACCTTCAGTGATGGTCCCAAACCCACCTCAATTCCAGCTGGAGAGGGATTTAGGACCTGTTTGGTCATCAGATCACAGCATCACTGACAAACTCAACATCTCTCACTAATTCCTGAGCAAAATTGGGGAAAACTGATGATTGTGGAGATTCTTTTCCTCCACAGTCAAATAAAAGCCCCTTAACTCACCCCCACACCTTGACACTGAAATCAGTAGGATGGGGAGAAGGATTGAACAACTTCAGGAGTTTGGGGTTCCCAATTTGACAGAAATTTTACCTCTTTAAACACTTATCTTAAAATTATACATCTTTAAATACTGATATTTAGAGAGAAGACAGAGTGTGCCTCCATTGAAACTTGGTGTCATTAATGCAGCTGTTGATGACTGCAAACCTGCTCACCCTCCCAAGGCAATTTTGTACTTCTGAACTATCAAACACCATCAAACTCAGGAATCACTGCCTGTTTCAATTCTCAGATTATTTAGGAAAAATAAAAAAACCCAAAAAAACCCAAACAACCAACTATTTTAGATCCTTATTGATATGGTAATGAACACAAACATATTCCTTTCCAGTTCACAACACCTCAGTGCAAAGGAACAGGGGAAAAGTGGGTCAAAGCTGTCTTTTAATGTATCAATCAAATTCCAACTAAATTAAAGCAGATTAATTAGCAGGCAAGTCAGCAAAATAAAATCCTATGCAAGTACTGGTAAGTAAATGCATTACTTTTCACATCACAGCATTTCAAACTGTAACACAAAATGAATAAAATTATTGAATTCAAATTGCAAGGAAGCCAAAACCATTAACTAATACTTCTAAGTATAGTGCAATTTTTTATCAGGAATTACTTCTTTCCTCCTTTAATTTGCCATCACTTGGCCACAATGGAAGCTGCTAAAACTGGAGTTTTCCTAAGGGAATTCTACTGGGAAATCTTTCAGTGAAGTTTCTGCAGAATCTTCTCATCTTTTTCTAGTCTTGGTAAATGTAGAAACATCTAGTGAGATTGTTTAAAGGTGAATTGTTTTTAAATGCTGCTCTGCATTTTCACAGAATCCTGGTTTTTAACCCTCTTGCAGTCAGGTATTTGAGCCAGGAGCTCAGACCCACCACAGCCCACAGGCAGCGACTGTTGAGCACAAATTGAAAATTAAAACTCATGTACATACATAAAACATTAAGGAAATCTTGGAAGGGGTTATGTCTGGACAACAGCTATTTCAGCATTTATTCTGGTTTTGGTGAGTTAAACCAGCATGAGGAACATTTAACATTGGTTCAACATCTAATCTTCCTTTTCTGGAGGACAAAAAGACAACAAAAATTCATCCATCCAGAGCTGGAGGTGTCTCAGGCACTAAATTTAATTCCCATTTTCTGTCTTTCCTTCTGCATGTTATCCTATGCTTTCACTGCTCTCTGCACTCCACTGCTCTTTAATGTTTAGCTCTCTTTATTAAAGATATTCTAGAAAAAAAAATAAATCACATACTTCGCAAAATTAACAAGAAACAAGATTGCTTTCTTCAATGCTGAGCGATTTCTCAGCCCAGAGCTCATGAATCCATTTTGAATTATATTTTCTCCCCTCCACAAGACACACTATATTCAGCTCATTTAATTAAAATTTACTGAGTCATTATCCAAATCTTCTACATAGGGAAAAAAGCAGCACCATTTAAAAATAAATTAAGAACACGAGCAAGAGCGCCATCAAAATGAAACTCTCTCAGGCTTTGCCAAAGCACTGTGGTCAGTGTTCAGTGAAACCCAAGTTCTCTGATGACAAGAAATTCAAGTATTTGTAGTTTATTTTCATTATTCAAACAGGAGTTTTCTTAAGACATATAAATTCTGTCACCAGGATATTTACTGAAAAATCCCTTCACCAGGATTTTTCTCCTGAGAAGCTGAGAAGCCTCAGAAAAGAAATGTAAATAATAATTACCCAAATGCTTGGGAATGTGGTCTGGAGGTTGCTGACCAACAGGTGCATCTTTGATTGGTTCCATGTGAATTGTTTTTAATTAATGACCAATCCTAGTCCAGCTGTGTCAGACTCTGGTCAGTCACAGGTTTTTATTATTCATTCTTTTCCAGACTTCTGATGTCTCTTTTCTCTATAGTTTAGCATATTTTTACTGTATCATTTAATTTAATATACTAAAATATAATAAATATACTATAATATACTATAGTATATACTATATTATACTATAATATAGTATATAATATAGTATAGTATAATATAACATAGTATAACATAACATAACATTAATGTAATATAATATATAATATAATATAATATAATATAATATAACATAACATAACATATAACATAATATAATATAATATATCAGCCTTCTGAGAATTTGGGAGACAAATTCTCATCTCTCACCTCATCCTAGGGACCCTCACAACAACACCCCAACATTCTGTCCATGCTGCTGCAAATACTAATTAAATTAAATTAAATTAAATTAAATTAAATTAAATTAAATTAGCTGCTGAATTAATTAAAATTCAGCTCCTTTTGCCTGCCCACATCTCCCAGTGCTGTCCATGCTGGACCTCCCTTGTGGCAGGAACCCATTCCTCCTGCTCACTGCAATTAAAGAAGAGGAAACCCTCCCCAGCAGAATTCTCCACTGGAAATGGAGCTCAGGGCTGAAAAATGTTCTGCTAATTTGAAACCCTCTTCCTGAATTGCAGGAATTTGTAGAACTGCATGAAATTCACGGATTGCAATTATTCACAGCAGACAGTAATGAACTCCAGGGTTTTCTGCAAAGAACCTCCCTCTGCTCTTCTCCAAAGGCAAGTTTATTTCATTTAGATTAATTCAGGATTACTGCCTTGTTATTGTGCTTCCTCTGGAAGCCATTTACAGTCTGTTGTCAGAAATGCACGCTCTGGGTCATATTTTGGAATTACCTGCACTTGGCAGAAGCAACAGCTGTAATTTATGTTCATAAACCTAAAGCAGGCAGCATCACATTCAATTCATTTTTGCAAACTGAGTGTTGATTTCTTCAGCCTGCTACTATCACCCCAAATGAAACTAATATCACTCTGCTTTTTATGGAAATGGAACGGGGACAAAAGCTGGGAACTGCCCTAAATAGACAAAATCAGGCGCTGTGTGTTCTTTGCACAAGCTTTACAAAAGCACTCATAAACATAAAACTGAGATCCATCAAAAGGCAACAAGTTTCACTTAAATGTTAGATGTCACTGTTTAATTTCATACATTAATATTGTTTAATTAAAGGCTAGAAGCAGTGCTGTTTTGGAAGGGATTTTGCTGGCCTGCTTGCAGGCAGGCAGCCAGGGAGGCTGTGGCATCATGTCCAGCTCTGCAGCAACAGATGCCCCAACTTCTGCCAAATTGTCACATTTGACAACACTTAACACCAGAACTCATGGAAACTCTTGAGGCTCCCATGAACAAAGAGCCAGGGCAGAGATGGCAGTGCCCAAAGCCTCTGGGTACAGGGAGACAGCTCCAGCCTTATGATGGCACAAATAAAGGTCTCCACTGATGTCCCTCCAGGTTTTATCTATCTGGGAGCAACTTCTATGTTTAAAAACTGCAGAGTAAAGCAGAACGTGGTGTTTTACAGGAACAGGACCAGAAGAATTTTGCCTAATTCAGAAGCAGGTTCCTGATGCCAGGCTAAGCTTTGTACAAATCACTCCCAGTCCTAGAGGAGCAGGGACACACTCCTTAAATCACACCACCATGGCAATCCTCCTGCTCACCCTCCTGTTTGCTCTCCTCAGTGTCATGCCTGGCCTTTGGACCCTCTCTGTCCATGAATTATCCTGCCAAGCACAGTGTGGGAGAGCCCTGCATTGTTTTTTTTATACAATTTAACCAGCACACTTGTGCCGTTTCAATTTATGACTAATTCAATAATGCTTTAATGGGTATTGCTGGAAAAAAACATTTATATGTTGTTGGAAATTAATAGCTGGGGGTGTGGGTGAAACCCAAACTCTCCCCTGAGAATCACAATCCCAAAATACATCCACTTTCACCCTAACCCTCACAAATAAACATGAACAATGATGGCAGCATCTGCTATCCCTGCTAGGATCATGGCTGCTTGGAAAGAACCTGGAAAACCTGGAAGTGCATTTTCCTTTTCTTTTTATGTTTTCATCTGCTACTCTTGACCTCCAAATTAACCAACCTCTTTTCCTTTCCCTTTCCCTTTCCTTTCCTTTCCTTTCCTTTCCTTTCCTTTCCTTTCCTTTCCTTTCCTTTCCTTTCCTTTCCTTTCCTTTCCTTCCCTTTCCCTTTCCCTTTCCCAGCTGAATCATCCCCATGGCAGTAACACACCTCAACTGCCCCTTTGCCAACATTTTCAGAGCATTCTGTTGAAACCTTTTAGTATTTTTGCACAGGCTTTACATTCTCAGTCTTCTATCAGTGCCTGGCTCTTTCTAAATCAGGCCCAACTCTACATTAAACTGAAAACAAAATCTGACCATTGACCTTAGAGAAAGCAGCACACTTGCCCTCTCAGTGCTCTCAAACCATCACAATAAAAAAACAAGCAAAAAACCCCAGGCCAGCCAGACTTCAGAGAGACTTCACAAGTGTTTGGGTCTACAGCTGACACGACTGCATAAAAGGACACACAAAAGCTTCTTGTAAGATTATAACAAATAAACCAATGTAATGTGGTACCTTTCATTTTCCTGCAGCTGCTCACCTCCCTTCTTCCAGGAACATTTGGCCTTGGGGAAAGCTTTGGGTTTGCACTCAAAATCAACTGTGCTGCCTATCTGAACCTGGATCAGTCTCTTCATTGGACTCTTGGAAAAATCTGGAGCAGAAGCTAGAACAGAAGGGGTAGTAGCAGTGAAATAAAGCACTTTTTAATGACATTAATGATACTACTAGTTAGCACTTACACGAGCACTCCTCAGACTCCAAATATAATTAACACCATTAATTAGTTCAGACAGATCTTCTATTGGGCAATTAGGCATTTTCTCCTCCTTTTCTGTACCTCATCCTGCTTCCAGAGGTCTCAGCTGAGCACCCAACACAAGACCAAAGCCACCAAAGCCACCAAAGCCCAAGGAACCCAGTTTCATGCTCAGCATCTGCCCAAGTGGATGCTGAGCTGAAAGGAGCAGATTTATCTGATCAACCTGATCAATATCACACCAGGAATCTTGCTGAACCTCAGGAAACTGGAATGTTCCCAGTTCCACGTGCCAGTGCCTGTCAGATGACAGGAAATGACAGTGCAGCTCATTCTGGGTGAACTTTTCATGAATTAAGAGTTTTGAGAAGCCTTGTGGCCTCTCCCTATGTAACACTGAACTTGGAAAGAAAATTCAGTGTTTGAGACCTTCCAGAGGTCTGAGCTGTGCAGCTGAGCACCCAACAAGGCAAGCACAGAAAATCAAAGCCACCAAAGCTCAATGAACCCAGTTTCAAGTTCAGCACCTGCCCAGGTGGATGCTCTCCTGAAGGGAGCAGATTTATCTGATCAATCTGATCAATACCACACCAGGAATCTTGCTGAACCTCAGGGAACTGGAATGTTCCCAGTTCCACGTGCCAATGTGTGTGAGATGACAGGAGATGGCTCCTCCAGGGCTGCACACAGAGGTTTTTAACCCCAGGGTGTCCCTGAGCATCCACAGGAGTGAGAGCAGCTGATGGAGCCAGCAGCACCCCCAGAGTGCACCAGGGGTTTTATCCCATCCCTGCTCTTCCCCTTGTGAATAATTTATCCTGTTCTGCTTTAAATGAATGACTGGCCTGAAAATCCTCAGGCAGCAGATGACTCAACTCCTCAGCTCTGCAGATAAAGACATCAGGTTGACAAAAATGCTTTATTTCAGTGACAGCAGCCGAGTGAGTTAAATCTGAGGTGCAATCTGAGGGGGTGTGGAGAGGGATAATGAGGTTTGTGTTTTAGTGAAAAAAGGAACATCTTACCTACAACCCTGAGCTCTGCACTCGAAGAGATGACACCATGCTTATTTTCAGCTATGCACTGGTATCTGCCAGAATCTGTCAGATTTAGATTTGATATTGTAAGTGCACCATTTTCAATTTGGATCCTTCCCTGAATATTAAGAAAAATATCTTTATTGATGATATATTTCCTGTGAAAAATTTAAAATAAGTAAGGAATAGAGATAAGACAGCATAAATACAATGAATAGGTTAAATGCAAAAGCAGAATAATGAGAACAGTTCTAAAAGAAGTGACAGGACTGCAGCAATGGTGATCAGATATGGAGATTGATGCAGTGCATGAAGTAATTCTTCTAATTTGCCCACTTGCACTGAGGTCTGGCAATCTCAAATGCCCTTTTACTTCTCCAGAAACACTGACAGAATCTACCAGCCCCCTCAGACAGACCAGAGTATCCAAACTGTGCAGATGGCACTGGCATTTCACACCATTTAAGGGATTTCACATGTGCCACTCGCTAATGAGCTCTCTGTAACACTGCAGAAAAAATTCCAGCAGCCATTGAACCAAAGGCACAAACTGAAGTGCTTGGAGCCAGCACAGCCACTCGAGTACCTGGGACTCCTCACCTTGCTGATTTTGGGAAGCTCAATTACAGCAGGAATGACTGATCTGAGTGGCAGAACTGGTGGCAAAAGGAACCAGGGAGGAAGACAAAACCAAAGGAGCAGCAGCTTTGGGGAACAGCTTTGGGGGAAACCAGGAATGCACAAAACCCCAAACTGCCTGCCCAGAAGTGTTTTCTAAGGGCTGCTTTTGGATCTGGCCCAAGCACAGGGTGACTCCAGGGCAGCTCAGCTCCTGAGTGCGAGGGGCTCAGACAGACAGACAAAAAGACAAACAGACAACAATCCCAAAGGGGAAAAGCTGAGCGCCCATGTCCTGATCTCCTCTGCAGCATCCGAAGCTTAGGGAAGATTTGTTCCTGAGTGGAACATGTTTGTGAAGGAGACCCAGCAGGAGGGATCAGTGAAGGAGCAGAGGACACCGGATCCCTGCACACACAGAGCTCCCATGGTCCTGCCAGGGCTGCTTCCCAAATTGCTCCCTCATTGTTTTCAGAGCAAGTCAAAGCCAAAACGCTGGGCAGCAACGCCCCAAACTGGACAAACAGGAGACTGAATGATCCCAAGGTGTTTTTGTACTTCCTGAGGTAACAGGAGCCCACTGCCTCAGTGGCTCTGTATGAACAGCAACAATGCTCTTAAATCTCCCCGAGGAGGTTTTGTGCTCCCTCATTTAACCTGTCCACAAAGCACCGGCACTCCTTTTAGCCAGCAGGGATGTAAGAAATTCTTTCCAGTGCTCTGCGCATTTTTCAGAACCACCCAGTGAATTCACCTGAGCAGGCCCTTTCTCCCCAAAATTCAGTGCTGAGCACAAGGCACGGGCCAAGGGCAGAAGTGCCTGCAGTTCATATTCCTGATAACCTGAAAGGGGCTGCTTTCCAAAAGTGAGACTTAAAATCAATAAATAAGGGGTATCAGATCCTGCTCTGCATTTCTGACCTTTCCCCTTCTAAGTTCAACTTCTCTGTTATCAAATGCTTTACTTGCAATTAACTTACTGTGGCAACTGCATTAAAGCAAATATCTATGTCATGTTGCTGTTTGTATTCCATTCTTTGCAACAAATCGCGGTAAACCCTTGAATCTTCAGGAGTTTTGTCAAGAAGCTGGAAAATATTTTCTTACTACCTTTAATGAAACGCCATCTGCAAATATAGTAAAATAATTCAAGCTTTCCATCCTTTATTTACAGTTCTTTATTTATAACATTATTAAACTTCCTTTTCCAGTCATTCCTTACATGTTTCTTTCTGTGGTTCTATTGTTTTTGAGTATGTTTTCAGCTGGAATTTTTTGTACAGCATAATTTGTCTTTGCAGCTATTGAGGCTTCATCAGGATGCTCTCAAAAAACACAAACCCAGTATCAAAACTTCTCTTGGCTAATACCAGGGAACTCTGGATGGATGGATGGATGGATGGATGGATGGATGGATGGATGGATGGATATTGTTAACTTTACACAGCACCACTCTTTCCCAACAGGATGTTACCTCTATTGCCAGCTGCTCTCCATTCTTCAGCCACCTGTAGGAGGGTTTGGGCTTCCCACTGGCTCTGCAGTCCCAGAACAAGGTGTCCTCCACAGCAACCTCCACATCCTGTATGGGCTGCACCCAGTGAGGCTTTGCTGCAGGGAGAACACACAACAAACACATGCAAACACAACTTACTGCTCCAGGTCACAACAATGGGCACAGAACTCATCCATTTTCTGCACAGGCTCATCTGTACCAACACAGCTTCCCACTGGTTCTGCTCCGAGCCCCCTGATGAAATAAATCACTTATTATTCCTCTTGTACATTTTTATTATGAGCACTAAGCCAGAAGAAAACTGAGAGTACAGATCACTGAAGCTGGACTGGTGAAACCAATATTAAAATCACAAATGATTAAACAACATCATTTTGCAATCGAGGCAAATGTAAGAGAAAGGCATTAATGGCAAGAGTGAAATTAAATAAGTGATGTGGCTAAATCATCAAATTAATGCTGGAGACAATCCTTTAAGTCTTAAAAAAAAATAATGGTATGTCAGCCTTAGTGCTAAATACCATTTAAATTGCTTTCTAATGCAAGGCAGCACTTAACTGGATGAAAACATGGATATATGAGATTGTTTTTGAAAGTAGAAGACCTGGCACAGAATTTGGGTAATGTAAACCAGTAGGACAAAGTCCATAAAAATCACTATTTTAAAGCCAAAATTTGAAGCAATAATACCAGGCATCCTTCAGAATTACCCAAAATGCAGTTAAAACTGTAAAGATATTTAAAACATTCATTACAGCTTTCACAGGAAGTAGAAAGCTCACTTGGCAAATAAACATCAGTGCATGAAAGACAACAGCAATTTATTTTTATTCCTTTAGTGCTGTTTCACACATCAGTTCAACACTATCTTATAGGTAATTTGTGAATTTTTAAAAAAAATTATTTGATTTACTAGAAGGTTTATTATCTCAGCCTATGCTATTTCTCCAAGAAAAGATAAATTCTGGACATGGCCTATGGAAAAGAGCAGATGAAAGAGCAAGATGAAACTTGGCTGCAAACATTTAGCTAGAATTTTCCAGAGTCAATTTGCTTCTCTTGATTCAGTAATTCAGGAAAATCTCCTACCACCCTCATGTGGAACCAACAGGGAGAAAACAAGTCCCTGGTGGTGTATGAAAACATTGTTTACTACACGAATTTAGGAAGGACAGGAGGTCAGATTAATTCCCATTGAACTTCTCACTGCAATGGAGCTCAGCAGCAATTAATTCAGGCCAGGGAAATTAAAGATTTGCCCATGGACATGAGGGAAAGTGGGCACAGCCAAGAGCTGAACAGCACCAGCCCAGCCAGGCCTGGGTCAGGGCTGCCACTAATTCCATTTTAAAAATTCCTTGTTTCCCAGCATGGAAATTTCCTCTCAATCCCAGGCTCTGCAATGCAGTGAAAAGACCTCAACACGACCATGCACAGCACCAGGCTTTTATGATAATGATGATTAATCTATTTATGATTTATGTACCCATATTTAGGGTTAACTGCTTACAGAAGAACTTGCTGAAATGTATTCACTGAGGTTTGAACTGCTAATAAATACTATACAATATACTACTATGCTATATTAGTATATTAGTATATAGTAGTATATTGTATAGTATTTGATAAATGCTCTATCTATATAGTATTATATACATATATAAAAATATATATAGTTTTTATCAAATATAGATATAGTATATAACACTATATCTGTATTTGATAAATACTATATATATATATTTATCCTATATATAAATATATGATAAATACTATACAATACAATATTTGCTGACAGTGAAACCCTCTGAATATTACTTTTTTTTTTCATATCCCAATGAGGATTAACACCTTTCACAGTTTGAGGATAATTTATTTTTTGCCTCCTCTTTAGCAAGGTCAGCTTGAAAAGACAGGATGATTTTTGTGTCCCATGGATGTACAATTTCAACTGGAAGAACAATGGATGTACAACTTACAACTGGTATTAACTGGGGTTAAATCCTCAAAATCCATGTTACAACACTGGAGTTCCAGCCAGCCCTTGCTTCATCCCACATTGTCACTGGGAGAATTTTAATTTCAAGGGAATGAAAGCTCAGGGTTCCATGCAATGAGCACTTTGCACACCTAAACATTTATGCAACATTCAGCACTGCTTGAATTACTGATGGATCCATACATGTGGAATATTTAACATCTGCTGCCCACCTCCACTTGAAAGCAGGTTAAATCTAAACTATTTTCAAGTCTAAAGACCTTGGATTCAACTCTACCAATTAAAAAATCATTGTCTATTTAATTTTGTTTTAGGACTGTGTCTCAGGCAGTCTCCATGGGAGGGTTTTCCAAGTTCCTACACAACACAATACAGCAGAAATGTGAAAACAGAGTAAAACAGAGCAGCTTCCCAAGGCACAGGGTGAGAAATTCCTGCTGCTTGTCTGTGCTGGTGGAGACTGCAGTGATTTCCTGGAGGAAGGCTCTTTTTTCTCTTCCAATTCCTGATGGAGGAGCTGAGCAGGAAGAAAAGCACCACTTTCAATCTGTCTTTGAAAGAGAACAATTCCACCAACCAGCTCAAAATTGAAAAGGCAGCTCAAGAGGGGCAATTCCAGCTGGGAATACTCCGACTCCTGGCCAGGATAAAGGTGCTTCATGTGCAGAAATAAAGTCAGGTATCAGCAGTTCTGACACCGTCCCAAAACAGGAGCAGGGTTTGCCAAGCCCAGCTCTGCCCCTTTTTGTTGAGCTCTGCCTGAGGACACCTGAAGGACTCTGAATAAACAGCTTTATTCCTCTCAAGGTTTAGCAGATCTTACTGCCCTAAAGATCTGATTCCACCATCACTGCCACATCTGTGCTCCTGAAGGAACACTTGCTAACAAAGCCTCATTTTCTGCTGGGATTTGTGAATTATTTGTGGGCTAACCACGCACAGTGCATCACAACACATATTTTTATGGATTATTTCCTTCAGAGTGAGAGAATCCAACAAAAATCAGGTTTTAATTTTAATTTTAATTTCTCTACAGAAACAAATTCTGTAGGAATGGAGTGAAGGGAAGGAATCTCCTGGAACTACTGCAGAGTTGTTGTGAAACCTGGATTTTCCTGAGGAGAGGAATCACTCCTTCCTAAAGCAAGGAATAGGTAGGCAGCACATCCTTGCTGAGATGAAAAAAAATTTAAAAAATTGACATTGTCCTGTAAGCTGAGAGGTTGGAAGTTAATTTTAAAGGAGTTCACAGTGCAGGGTTTGAGGCTGTGACAGGAATCTGTATTTTGGGATGATATTAAGAATTCTTGGGAACTTGCTGTGCAATCTTCATGAAAGATTCATCTGGAGCTCCCCCAGGACGACATGCTTGTAGGTAAAGTGATTTTCTGAGGCAGGTTAGCCGTCAGCTCCATGGCCAGTCACTTGGAAAAGCACCAGTCTGGATTTTGCTTCACTTGTTTTAGCCTAAAATATTCCTTGCAGTGCTCGTGGTCCCAGAGGCAAGGAGAGAACAAGTGTGTAACTCCATGAAGAGCATCCCAGGGAGAGGCCTCTCATCTTTTCTGGTGGTTATGATGACCCAGCCAGCTGAGCCTGCAGGAAACAACTGTTGCTCCATTACACTCCAGGCCTCCCCTGTAGGCCAAAAGGGAAGGAAAAACCATTTTTTCAGATTTTACAAAATCCTTTGTGATGTCCTGGGGGTTGATGTGAAGGAAGAACGACTGCAGGGATGCTTCTGGCTGAAGGAGTGACACTTTGCAGAGGCTGGGCTGGGATTTGTGAATTATTTGCGGCCTAACCACACACAGTGCAGCAAAACACGTATTTTCATGTATTATTTCCTTCAGAGTGAGAGAATCCAACAAAAATCTGGTTTTAATTCTGTAGGAATGGAGTGAAGGGAAGGCAGAACTGCTGGGAGCCAAAGGCCCTGGGGAGCTCCTCCAGATTCACACAAAATGTTCCATTCTTACACTTGCACTCTGACATTTCCACCAGGAAAGCTGGGCTGGAACTCTCTGAAACACCTCTGGGGAGCTCAGAAGTTGGGCAGGAAAATCAGAGCACAAAGAACTTCCCAGAGCAAAAGAAGGGAAGTTGTGAATCAAACAGGGGGGAAAAACCCATCCCAAAAACGTGACCTGCAGTTTTCCTGCCTCAAAGCCAGGCTCTGACACTCCCGCTGATGCCTGCAGCAGGGATGAACTCTGATTTCACCTCTAAACTCCAAGGACTTCAAGCACAAATCACTTCTGTTCTGCTGAACCAGCTGGGTCTGGAGAAGCAGCTGAAACATCTCTGAAAATTTCATTTTTTGGCTCCCATTGGAAAATCAGAATGCCCTCAAGCAACAGGTAATTCCAAATCACTGGGAAAAGCTTTAGTATGTAAAAGAAGAAAAACTATTTGTCTGGGCAGCAAGGAAATTATATTATTAGACAGCATTAACAATTAAACTCTAGGTGATCAAACTCAGCAACTCATTGATATTATTCAGTCATTTGTAACTTTGCTGTTGATGCTTTGAAGACTTGCCAAGCACAAGACAATCAGATAACACCTTTAAACAGAGAAATTCTTTAAATACACATACACAAAGAACAGTTTCAGTTTTGCTAATAGATTATTTAAAAAAAAAAAATCCAAAATATACCAGAATTTCTTAACACACTAAAAAAATGAGGCAGATTCTACTGATTCCTGGGGGATTTTGTCTTTGTTACCACAGACCAGCACTACATAGCAAAAGGAGAACAGCAGCAGAATTTCCTTCTCCCTGTCAAACATTTTACCTTGGTGCTGCCAAGTAGGACTGCTCCTCTATCAGCATGGGCTAATTAAGAATATATTTCCTTCAATTATACCTTAAATTAATTGCATTACATATCTTTACTGTGCTTCATGTTTAATTGCATCCTAAAAGACAAAAATACAATTGTTTCATCTCCTCTCCTTTTTCTCTGCCATGAAACACGTCTGTGGATTCTTTTTTTTTTCCCCTGTTATCTCTTTATGGGAAGCTAAAAGCGATGACAAACGAACAGGCTAATAAAGGGAAAGCAAATTATTTAAATCTTCAGGTTCTACATTCCATCAAAGTTGGATAATCTTCTCCTATTTTTAGCACAATCTGAGCTCTCCTGAGTAGAAAACTGGCATTTAACAAATGTTGGAACTGTAAAAAGGACAAAAAACTGAACATTTGATGTCAGGCTTTTCTTGATAAAATCCTTCAGGAGAGAAAAGGAAGATTAATAGTCTGTGAGTACTGTAATGAACCCAGAATATCTGGTTTAGAATATCTATTTTAATTATCAACGCCAACTATGGGAGGAGAGCTATATTTAAAACACACCATAATTATAATAAAACAGACTCATTTCATTTCTTTCAGGAGTTACAGATGTGACAGATTTATAGGAATTCTTGGGAAAGTGACTATGGACAGGAGTGAAGTTGTTCAAGGACTTTGTGGCTTCAAGGCTGTAATTCATTATTGGATGAAAAAGGAAGGCTTTTAACCAAACTGTTTATGAACTGGAAAACCTGATTTTCAGAGTTTAAACTTTTCAGTTTCAGCTCATAAAACAAATCAGAATAGGAGTGTTTCACTTTGTACCAGAGCAATGAATGTTTCAAGCTTTGCTTTAGGACCAGCTTTATGTTACATTTCAAAGAATCCTTAAAGTTTGCAAAGAAAGAAAAACCTATTTTTCAGGCACATGAACGATTTTTATCAATATTTTTTTCTGCCTAAAGATTTCTTTTTCATATGGTTTCACCACAACAACTTGCAAAACATTAACCCCAATCCTTCTCATACTGATTTCTTTTGGGGTCAGGCAGAAATGTGCTTTGTTCTGCCCAGAGGAAAATGAATGTTGTCACTATTGAAATAAAAAGACATTTGTGCTTTTGTAATGTTTATATTTTTCCATGTTTGATAAGCAGACTTGCCTTAAACTTATAAATGTTCTAACAGCAGCCACCATTCCCTAAAAACAGCAGATTTGTGGATTTTTGACAGCATTGGTATTTGTGGCAGATGGGTGATTTTTTACTCTATGTCTTCAGTTTATTGCATTAGTTTCCCCCAAATCCTCATCTGCTTTTAGAACAACTTCCTTAAATATTGATATTTTTTTGGAAAGCTGAGTGAGATGTGGTCAGATTTCCTCACCAGACAGATTTCTGGGCTCTGGCACCAGATGAGGTGGCAACCCATCAGAAGACATTATCTTCAGTTATAAAACTTTGAATTATCAAGAGAAGTTATAAATGCTCTCATCCCAAATCCAGGCTTGTTGGAATTCTAACTGCAACAACAAAGCAAGCACCAAAATAAGAAAGATTACTTAAATCTATTTAATTCTGCAGAATGGGTTCCATGAAGCAGAACAAATGAAATGAAACAGTTGGAGTGCCATTACTGCCATTACAGCTCTCATTATTCTTCTCAAGATAAACATCCATATCAGGGATGGCTCCTAACATGGGCAGCCACTCCTCCTGGAGTATGAGGGTTCAAATCCCTGTCTGGATTTGCACTGAAAAGGTTCACAATGATTCCATTGTTACAGAACTGCAGATGAGTTGCTTTTGCTCATTAGCAACATCCTTTATTTCAGCTCTGTGGCCTTTTAATGAGCAAAGAAGAATTTGGGCAGCAGGGCAGGAACCCCAGGAACGGCACTGCTGGAATTACAAGGACTGATGAACAAATCCACTCTATTTTAAGTCTAATTTCTCTATCTATTTTTTATCTCCTCTAATTTATATCTATATAAATTAGATATATCTATATATTTACAGTAATGTATCTCACAATTGTCCTGATTTAACACTGCCATAGGAATGTTGAGGCAAAACGATGAACAAACCCCAACTCCGGAACTTTCAAGCAAAAATTAAGGTCACTTAATAAAAACTTTTAAATTCTATTTAAAAATAAAACGCACAGTGCCAAGTTTGGCATGACAGAGGACACTGGCAGGTGAAGCAGCTTGGATTTGCTGCCCTATGTCAATCACAGGATTTCCCAAAAAGTCATAATTACAACTTGTGTTGCTTCAAGTCCCCTGCCCAACTTGACCTTGAACATTTCCAATACTGGGGCCTTCATTCAGTGTAAAGATTAATTTGGAAGTTGGCAAGGAGAGAAATTTTCCTTCCTCATTATAAAATCTATTGTGCCATAAAGTAAAATCTTCAAGGACCAAAATGTGTGTTGTACCAGCCAGCTGCTCCACATGGAGAGGCAGTGAAGAACCTGCTCTGCGCCTTTATCCAGCTCTAAACCCTCTCCTTGCTCAAATATTCCTCCATGAGGGAAACATTCCAAGACAGAGTCAGAATCACTGTTTAAATTGCCATTGAAGTAAAGAAAATTATATTTGCTGAGATCTGGCTTTAACAAAAATTGTCAATTACCACTTTGTTGCAAATCACTCTCGCTTTACACCACCACCAGTGTGCTTTGCTGATACTCATTTCACTCTATAGCTTCAAATGCACAAGAGACAGCTTTTTTTCCAGCTATAAAATTTCATATTATTTCATTTCCTATACTGGATTATATCCTCCCATTTATTTACTCATTTTAAAATAAAATTGCCTGTTTTGAAAGCACAGGATTGAGAATATCCATCAGTAATCTTTTCACAAAGCAAGACAAAATTTGTACTTCTCATAAATGGGAGGCCTAAATGATCCCCCAAATAAATCCAATTGACTGAAAATTGAGGGTTTTGCCAATGGACCAAAAAGAAATGTTCTAAAAAAAACCAGTCTTTCCATCAGAGAAAAAACCAACCACAAGCACACTATGCTTTACTCTCTGCAATTCTTGTGAACTTTTAAGCCATTTCTTGGAGGCCTTACCAAGAAACTGCTGCAGAAATTCTCATTTTCTGGAAGCACTTAAAATGCCATGGGTTTTTACGCCCAAATGCCCAATGGAACTGCAGAAAGCGGAAATTCCAGAGTACCCCAGAGCAGTTTGTGCTTCATGAGTAAAGAAAGGAGGGAGAGACAGACCAGAGGTTTCCTACCATAGTAAGTGAGACGTCCTCTTGCAATGTTTTTGCCCCTGGAGTTTTCAGTAATGCATTCATAAAGCCCTGCATCCTCCTGCTGGAAATTAGGGATTTCAATCATGCCATTGGATTTCCTCAGCTTTATTTTACTTGGAAATGGCAGCCCGTCAGTTCTTCTCCAGTTAATCTGAGGCACGGGGCTAAAGAGAGAGTAATGAGATTTTAAACAGTTTTGCTTCAAGTCCTTGATTGTCATAATGAGATACTTAAAGCAAACTAAATTCAGCAGTGACTTGCAGGCTGTGTTAAATGCAATAACCACACTGTACATGACAGATGGTCAGACACTCAGGCACCTGATTTGCATTCCCTGCTGATTCCTATGCTGCATTTGTGGTCCCAAATTTGTCAGGAATAGCTCTGTGGATGCCCAATAATTGCGACATTTCTTGTAAATCAGCACTGGCCTCCCCAGAGGATGGGTGAGATTTACCAGAGGCTTCCACAGAGGAAGAATCCAGGCAAGTCTTTTGGAATTGCCATCCTCCAGCAGCCTTTAATGCTCTGATTTGCAAACTTCCCCTCTCCAGGGAGCCAAAGCAAGAGTGTGTGATCAAGTTATCAATCTGACATGGGCACCTGACAACCTGCCTGCAAACAAACCCCACACTGGTAAATAAATACAGTTACAGAAACACAAATGCATTCTCAGATCATCTGTGAAAGAGAAAAGGTATCAGCTGCAAGTGAAGCATCATTCAGAAGAGAAATGCATTTCCATCTTTATTTTGGCCATAAAGAAAGAACAATATTATGAAAGCATCAAGTACATTTAAGGGGAAAATTCAGACAACATTCTCACAGGCTTCAGCACCACTTCCTTGCACAAAGAAAAGAGACTTAGCTCAAAGGTCATATGCAAAACTACAGAGAATCTACTTGAGTTAATTTGAAATGAAATGCGAATTCCTGTGCTGCCAACATACCCATCTTAATTCTAAACAAAATCAAAATACACTTCATGAGTCTCTGCTCTCTCATTTCACGGCAGGACCTGTGATGACCAAAATCAGGGAAACTCCAGAGCCCCACAGCTCTTGTGCAGGTGAACCCAAAGGTGCTCCAAGTTTCAGTGAAGATGAACACTTACTTTCCCAGTGCAAAGCACTCCAGCTTCACAGTGGAGCCTTTGGCTGCTGCCAGGGTCTCAGGGAACTGAACTTCTATTTTGGGCTCGTATTCCCCCATCACACCTGTGTGAGACAATTGAGAAGGTCAAATTTTCAAGGCGGTTTTCAAAGGGTTTTCTTTCCCTCTCTTGCAATTCAAGATTATTTCTCTGACTATCTGCTTATAAAGGGAAGCACAGTGATATCAGGGACAGAGTTAGGATGCAACAAGGTTTATCTTAGAAGAAAGTTTGGACTGTGGGAATTGGAAATACAGAAACTTGCACAGATACTGAAGGGTTTGATATGCAGCCCTGGGAGATGCGTGGATTGATGTAAAAATATACATTAGACACAGACATTAAACAGAAAAATAATATCGTTATGTTTCTATAGTTGTAGGTGAGAATATGACTTAAATGAGAAACTGTACTGATAAAATGGTGAAGGGTTTATAATCTAAGGGTGGGGTTGTATGGAATAAACTAAGAGTTTAGAAGTTATGATAGAAGCATATGTGTAATAGTAGCCCATTGGATAGAAGCATCCACAGTGCAGGATAAGTAAATAAAGGTGAAAGGTCAGAAAAGTAAAATAAACCCAGTGGCAACTGCTTATTGGGTTAGATATTTCTATACTGCCTTGTAACAAAGAACTTGTGACTTCCCTGAGCTATGGCCGAGTTCTTGCTCCTCTAAAACCTCTCAGCCTCTGAGACTGATGTTTATCTGAGCAATAAATCATTCTTAACCCCATGGTGGTCCCATTCCTTCATTACAAAGGTGTCACCCTTTATTACAAAGGTGACAATGACAGGACAACACTGGAGAATTTATGCTGCAAGAGCCAAAAACTCTGGGAACTGAGTGATGCTGCGAATGCAGTCGGGCTCCTGGCAGCTCCCTGTTGCTCTGTTCTTCTAAAGCTCTTCTAAGCCTTCTGATGTTTACATTTTTGCAATGGAGTGTAAATAATGATTGTTTTGCATTCCGTTCTGGAGGAGGACAGAACTGATGGACTGTCACTATAGGACATGAAACAACACGAGGACACACCGCTGTTCTCAAGGTGAAGAGAAAAGGAGTTTATTATCTGACTCCAACGTTTATAGATTTCCAAAAGTGACAGTGGATTGCAGGGTGACAGTGATACCTCTCCAATGACACTGGACAAACCAACAGTCCATCAAATTTCTCCTCCTCCACAAAAGAATGCAAAACAATGAGCTATTTACAGAAAGTGTATGAAAAAGTTTGCTACAAGAATGTCAACATCAGAAGGCTTAGAAAATCTTAAAAAACCAGGGCAAAAATGGACTGCTGGTTTGACCAGCGTGGTTGGAGAGGTGGCAATTTCATCCTCCAATCCACAGTCACTTATGGAACTCTATAAATATGGAGGTCCAGAAATAAATGCCCTTTTCTGCCTGGGACATCTGCTCATTCCGTGTTGTAGCCATGATATTTTCTGAAAAACCCTTTCCTCAGGATTCTTCCTCCTGAGAAGATGAGAGGCCCCAGGAACAAAATGTAAACAATGGTTATCTGCTGCTGTGGAATGCAACAGGTGCATCTGGGATTGGTCTCGTGTAGTTGCTTCTAATTAATGGCCAATCACAGTCAGCTGGCTTGGACTCTGTCTGAGACCAAAGCTTTTGTTATTAATTTCTTCTTTTTTCTATTCTCAGCTAACATTCTGATGAAATCCTTTCTTCTATTCTTTTTAGTATAGTTTTAATGTAACATATATAATAAAATAATAAATCATCCTTCTGAAACATGGGGTCAGATCCTCATCTCTTCCCTCATCCTGGGCCCCCTATGAACACCATCACACCACGTCTGCGTTCCCTGGCGTCCGTTCCATCCCGTTCCATTCCATTCCGTACCGTCCGTGCGCAGCACCAGGGGCGTGGGGGAGCCCAGCACGGGGCTCCTGCTGGCCCTGCTGGTCACCACACAGCTGTAGTTGCCCACGTCCGAGGGCTCCACCTTGGCGATGTACAGGTGCCCCGTCTCCTGGGACACGAAGCGCCGGCTGTCCTCCTGCACGAACGACGGGTACTCGTTGAAGATCCAGGCGAACGACAGGTCTGGGTGGGGAAAAACAACACAAGCAAAGGGGTTTGGTAGCATTTTTCCGACTTTTTCCCCTTCAAAGAGCACTTTATTACTATATTTGACAGCACTGATGTGGCATTCCATTCTCTGAAAAATCCCTTCGCCCAGGGTTTTTCTGCTGGGAAGATGAGAAGCCTCAGAGAAAAAGGAAAACAATTCTTATCTCATTTGCTTCTCTTGTGTTTTGCTTCTTTGGCATGTGTTTGGAGATTGTTGCATTAGTTTCATGTGAATTGTTTTGACTCAATGGCCAACTGACGCCAAGTTGTGTCAGGACTCTGGAAAGAGTTAGAAGTTTTCATTATTATCCTTTTAGCATTCTCTACGTATCCTTTCTGTATTCTTTAGTATAGTTTAGTATAGTTTAGTATAGTATAGTATTCTTTAATATACTCTAGTATCATAAAATAATAAATTAGCCTTCAGAGAACATGGAGTCAGATTCATCATTCCCCCCCGCCACGGGGATCCCTGCAAATACAATACACTGCATTATTTACAGTACTGTACTGTATAACAAACAGCCAACGACTGAGAAAAATACATTTTAAGAAGTACCAGAAACTAGCAAAACCCCCCATTTTCTTCACCAACTCTGGGGTGGGGAAAAACACATATGCAAAGGTGTTTGATAGGATTTTTCCACCTTTTTTTCATTCAAAGACTGCTTTATTGCTATATTTGACAGCACTGCATTATTTACAGTACTGTACTGTGTAAAAAACAGAGCCAGTGACAGAGAAAAATACATTTTAAAAAGTACCAGAAAGTAGCAAAACCCCCAATTTTTTTCTCACCATCTCCTCCAGCAGAACAAAAAAGAAAGGCAAAAGAAATCCAGACTATTAGCAGGTTTGCTTAAATCTCCTTCTTTTCTCTCTTTTTTTTTTTTGAAATTTAATATGCACAGAAATAGGAGCAGACAGCAAAAACGAGAGCAAACTTTGCTAAAATGGAAAGATTATTCATTCAGTAGCTACTTAACTGCTCAGCCAGATGATTAGCAGGTAGAAACAGGACAGCAGAATCCACGTGATAAGGATGTCAGAAGAAGGCTAAATTCCCAGTAGGGCTCATCACACAGCAAAACTATTTTTTTCACACAAAAATCCATAAAAAACTCCATTAAAAACATTTCTGTGTGATGTGGACAAGTAGCCCTCCCTACCACTCACTATGATTATTTGAAAGGGAAAAAAAACCACCAAACCCACACCTCGAAAGAGAAACGAAGAGATTTGGCAAAAAAATCCACTGAATTTGTTTTGTTTCCTGAGCATCACTCTGAGCCTTGTGCGGCCAATTTGAATTGGCAAAAGCCCCTTCCTGTGCCAGGCCACGTGTTTGTTTCATTCATTTCCTACAGGATCAAAGGAAAATAAATTTTTAATGGCATTCTAGGCAAGGAATAATTTTTTTTTTCACCCACGTGGCACTTATACAAAGATTACAGCTTCTGGAGGTGCTAATTAGCAATGATTACAGCCTGATTGACCTCTCTTGTGCTGCAGTGTCTGCAGCACTGGCACTGCCCTCACGAAATGGAGATCAGCCCCTCCTGCACAGCCTTAATTTGAGGGTGCACAAGTGTGGGTGCCCCATGGAATGAAAAGGTGACACAACCTGAGCCCTCAACCCCTCCCCAGGCTGCCAAAGCCAGCAGGACAATTCAACACAAGGCAAGACTGTGCAGGTGGAAAAAAAGCCACTCAATAAATGAAATTATTAAGATATTTATGGGCTGCCTAATGCAAAAGAGGCATCAAATGAAATGGCTGATCATTAACCTGCATTTAATTTTCTTCTATCAATATTTAAACCTCTTCCATTATGATAATTCTGCAGCAGTGGCCCGGGCCAACCATTAACAGGCTCAGGAGTTAAACTTCTGTCAAATTTAAAAATATTTGAAATAAATGAAGATAAATAAATAGAACAAATCAATAAATCAATAAAAAAGTATTAGAAATAAATAAATAAATATTATAAATATTTACTGCCAAGACCAGAACCATAAGGAGGAAAAGACCTGCAAGACCATCACCTCCATGGACCTCAGGATCACCAACGGCTTTCGCCACAATTCCTTCCTCCAGAACTCAGAGGTGCAATTCATTTATGGAAAGGAAGGCAGCAAGGATTTGTTATGAAACAATGGGGGAATTAGTGCAGTGGGAAGCATGAAATTATTTCAAAAATAAAGAAAAAAGAGAGCACACCTGAGGAGGTTGAAGGGGACTACGTGGTCTGAGGGAAAAAGGAATGTGGGGTCTTTTCTAAATGGGAAAGGCAGAAAATAGAGGAGAACTCTTTCTGAAGAAGAGCTGGGTGGACACAATGATCTCAGGGCTGAACACCAAGTTAGGGACCAAAAAAAGCCAATTTTCAGCTCCACACCAAACCCAGACACCCACAAGGCAGCCGTGGGTGACACCAGCCTTCAATGCTTCTGCTATTTATTGAACCACCTGTGCTTCCTTGCTCAAAACAATATTTCATGCTTAAAAATAGGAGAAAATAAAAAGAAAAAAGATGTCCAGAAGAGTGTGGAGATCTGGAGATGCAGCAGGAAAAGCAGCAGCTTCATTTCATTGCTAGGATATTGGGTTAAGTCAAGAATAAACGCACTGAAATCAGTCACTGGGATTACGGCAGCCATGCAAAGTGGGTTCCAGTTTAATTGGGTCCTTCAACCCATGAATAAACACCCCTGGAAACCTAATTCCCCATTCAACACTTATTTTCACTGACTCCCTTAAAAAAGGCTGGGGTACTTCTAGCCCTGTGCCCCACCACCTCATTTTATATTTATTGTCCTTTACAAAATTGCACTCTTATTTTCCAAAATAAATTAAAAAAAAAAAGAAAAAAAAATCATATTAAACAACTTGTGGTGTGATTTATTATGTTTACACCATTTGCCTGTTGCTGATCTTAGGACACCTCCAGGGACACAAACTCACTCCCTTTCTGTCAATTACAAGTTTTCAGTTGATTTTCTGTTATAAATGGAAGTAATATGTCTCTCCTGGGCTTCCTCTGAGTTCTGAGCCTTTGCTTTCCAATGCATTTTTTCCTTATTTGGCGACCATACATGGATAAGGTATTGGAAATTACAGTTATTACTCAATTTTTATTTGTTTACTACGTCTTGGTTGGCGGCCTCTCTTTACTTTGCATTATTTGATTATTATTTACTGTGCAGTTTCCAACACACTCAGCATGTTCAAACTGTTCCAGGCCTTTTGTGCACCTAAGTGCTCTATTAAAAAAATGCTTATAAAATTACCTGTCATTTTTAAACCTGAATTCTTTACAAAATTCAACAATTAAATCACCCTGGCCTTTGGGGTTTACCAGGGTCATTTCCTGCCATTTATGAACCTTAAAAAAACCCCAAATTACTGTTGCTAAAGGAACAGAATGGGGTAAAACCCACACATTTATGGGTTTTTAACTAAGTTCAAAGTCAAGGCTAAAGTTTATGCACATCCTTTTGAAAATATGGCTTTAAATAATATTTAAAGAATTTTAGAAATACAGAAATTTAAAGAAATTACACATTTCTTCTAAGTGAGACTGAATCACTTCACTGGGAGATCATTTACAGAACCAGGGTGATTTTACTTCTTGTAAACAGAATTTAAGTGACAACAGCAGTGATGGAAACCCCAAAAATTCAGAAGCTGGAAAAGCAGAAGTTCAGTGGGGAAAAAAGGCACACAGACCTATGATCAAAAGGAGAAGAACAATTCCCAAAGTTAATTTTATCTACTATTTGCATAAATAATGCCAGCTTTTGCTCCTTGTCTTCTGGGCCATCACTTCAATAAACCTGCTTAATATCTACCTGTCAGCCCTATAATTCACACAGAACTGAGACTTCTAAAATAGCCACAAGAAAGTGAACAATGTTCTCCTGCAACAGATTTAAAATGTTCCAAACTGACTGGATTTGAATTAGCCAAGTGGGTGTTCCCAGAAATAAAGCTGGTAAGAAATGAAAATTCTTGATTTTGGGGATCATGAAGCTGACTGAACAATACTTCAAGGTTAAAAAAAAAACCAACCAAAATCCGGAAACACAAACAAACAAAAAAACCAACCACCAAAACATAAAGAAGTTTCATGTCATCACTGATACCCAAATCCCAATTATTTAATGCACTTCTCCAGCTCTGATTTTACACTATTCTGTAGCAGAAACACCAGGAGAAGCTGAAATATCCCGACTTTTGTGTCTCCCAATGGCTCTCTGCCCATCCCACAGGATGGCACGTGGCTCCTGGAAAACTGTTTCCAAGAAAGTAATCAGACAGAATTTAGCAATGACAGAAACTGCAATTAAAACCATGGAAATGCGCAGCAAACAGCTATTTGGAATGATCTACCTTAGGTGAAAAGTGATGGAAAAGTAACACTGATTTTGAGAGGATAATAACAGACTCCCTAATTAAGGCAGAAACCAATTAGTTCATCATTTGGCCCAATTTCAGCTGCAAGTGTGATGAAATGGCAGAAAAGGGAGTTTGTGGATGAGCATCCCTCATTCAGGAGGAGCTCTGGGAGCTCACACTGAGCATTCAGGTTGGGATTTTTGGGACAATCATCCACAAAAATGTCCATTTCTCACCACTGCTGCAGCTGTCTGTCTGCACAGGAACCTCTGGGAAAGTGCAAACAAATTACCTAAAAGCAGGAAATTAATTAATGAGGTAAAAGTGCATTAAGGTCCCAGAGGATGCTCTGGGGTGCAGCTGTCCCCCCCTCACCTCCCTGCAGGCGAATCCTTGGATTACACTGCTGTGGGATTGGGAAAATGGAATGTCAGTGCTCCCAGGGGTATAACTGGTTTTATTTTACATAATTTACCTCAGATTTCTCCTTAATACTTTTCCTTTCTCACTTGGGGCCAATTTTCCTGCACTTAGTTCAGCACCCCATCCTCCCCTGGCCAGCCCCACCACCAGCT